TTCCCTTCCGTAAAGGAAGAAAACTCATTCTTGGTAAATCTGTCAGTACTCTCTGCCTTACACAGTTCTGATCTGTTTTGAACCTCTTTTGGTTTTGCAATCCTAACTGCCCTGGCAGATGGATATTGTCCCATAAAATAATGATATAGTCACGTGAGAAAATTTAGGGTTACTTCTTGACAGAATTTGAAGAGGTATTGATAAAGCTCCAGGCAGGAGGAAGGTGACAAGAAGTTACCTTGAATGTTACCAATTCGGTTGCAGGGATGTCATAATACTACTACTACTACTAATGATGATGATAGCTAACATTTTTGAGCCTGTAAGATAAAGGAAACAATAATAACAGGCATTTATTTTATACTTAATTTATTCTAGGGAGAGTGCTGAGTTTTTTTCTTACATTATCTTAAAGAAATCTTTGTATTATATTTATTTTTTTCTTGACATAATTGTATACATATATGGGGTACATCGTGATATTTGGGTGCATTATACAATGTGTAACGATCAAATCAAGGTAATTAGCATATTCATCACCTCAAACATTTTTCATTTCTTTGTGTTGGGAACATTTAAAATCCTCTCTATTAGCTATTTGAAATTATACAATAAGTTGTTAACTGTAGTCTCTACAGTGCTCTAGAACACTAGCACTTATTCTTCCTATCTAAGCAATATTTTGTTTACATTATCTTAAGTCTTAACTAAGCTACTCCTTTAAAAAGCCAGAACTTCTATTATTTGGCCTCTCAGGATTCCAGCTTGTGAAGTCAGGCATTAACTAAATTCTGCACTTTTGTACCAGTGGTTCTCGAGCAGAGTCCCTTTACGCTCTTAAAAATTAAGACTGAAAGAGCTTTTACTTATGTGGGTTATATGTGTTGATATTTCTGCATTAGAAATGAAAACATAAATTTTTAAAAACCCGTTACATGTTAATTAAATAGCATGGGTTTTTTTGTTGTTGTTGTTTGTTTGTTTGTTTGTTTTGTCCTTTTTGAGACTGGCCGCACCGCGCTCAGCCAGTGAGCGCTATGAGTGCACCGGTCATCCCTATATAGGATCCGAACCCGCGGCGGGAGTGCTGCTGCGCTCCCAGCGCCGCACTCTCCCAAGTGCGCCACGGGCTCGGCCCTAAATAGCATGTTTTATGAAATATAACTGAAGTTTCTAAGATAAGACAAAAAACTTTAGCAAGAAGAGTGCATTATTATATATATATTTCTGCAAATTTCTTTAATGTCTGGCTTAAAAGAAGGCAGCTAGATTCTCATATCTGCTTCTGCATTCAATTCGTTACTTTGGTTGAAGTATAGGAAGAAAAACCAGCCTCATAAAGATATGTCATCAGACAAGGGAAGGTTATTTAATAGCCTATTCAGATAACTGTTGATATTCTTCTTTGACTCTACCCCAGATTTTACAGGTGGTAGTTTCTTAAAAGTTAGGTGCAATGTAGAATCTGAAACCATATAATGAACTTTTCATACTCTGCACTCATGAGGGAATGAAAGTAAAAAGGCAAATAATGTCTTTGTGTTATAAAAATAGTTTGACCTTAAAAACTCCCTGAAAAGGTCCCGGGGGACCCCCAGATGTTCCCCAAAGCACACTTTGAGAACCTGTGGTACAAGCTTAGAAGGGCGAGAAACAGCCCAATTAGCTCAAGACCACAGGTAGACATACTCATGCTTATTTACTTCAACAACTGTTTTTGAAGCCTGAGAGAGGAAAGAGACCAATAATTATCTCTTCCCCGTCCTGCCAAGATATAGAGAGGATGGAGATAATGTCCCAAAAGTGATTTAGAGCTCTGGAAGTAAATAAACAAAACACTGATCCTAAAGTTAACTATGCTATTTTCCTCCTTGAATAAATTGAAGTAAGAATTGTGTCAGAATGTGGAGATGTGGTAGATGCTTTCTTGGAATGGCTTAATCAAGTATAACTAATGATACTCAAAGCCTTTAAAATTAGCCAATATTAATACTGCTAAAACTGTTGAAACTGTCAAATGCATTGCTAATTTTATATCATGAAATATAAATTTTCCCCGGAACATTCTGTTTAAAAGAACATTCTATATACTTGCTAAGAGGAATTTAACATATGTTCTATTTTAAAAAAGAAAAAGAAAGGAGAAAAAATACTTTAGCTATTGAGATCACAAAGCCTTATTTATCTGTGAATTATGCAACTGCATGCTTCATCTTTTAATAAACTAAACACTAACCAGAAAAATCAATGTGTTTTGCAACATTTACTCTTTTTTCTTCTCTTTTATTAGTATGCTTTAATGGTGTTTCTATTTGATTTGCTAAACAATAAGGTCATTTAATTTCTACTTGAAGATATGCAAGAGTTCTTGTCTTCCTGTAAACTTTCAACATATTAACTTGCATTACATTTTCATGACAGTAAGTTATTACTAATGATACACGTTGACTTTGGTACAGTATTTCTTTTGAGAGTGGAGAGGGAATATTCATTTATTTGTGTATATCATGTTATTTTGAGATATTTTACTTGTAAATAAATGTATCCTTTATTTTTTTTGTTTGCAATAACAAGTTAAACTCTTTTACTAGAAGTAGAATGGTCATCATTGATTTCTCTTAATATAGTTTAGAGTTTCATTTTAGACCATTAAGAAATCCACTCAAAACTATTTGTTTAGATTCCCCTTTCTGTTAGGCGTTAAGGGTATGGAGCAGGTAGAATAGGGAGTTATACAAAGTTCACAAGTAATAAATCTAAAGCATTAGCTCCCCACCCCAATTTTTTTTCTGAAGTCAGCATCATGAACACCACAGCTAGAAATCAATCTGTCTGAGTTAAATACCAATATGATATGTTCTGTGATGGTGAGATCCCTTTGTCCCCACCCAATACTCAAGGTTTTATATAGCATATTTTTAAAATTTACTTATTTGAAAAATATTTAATGACATTTTAACACATCTTGTAAAACATCCTTTCTGTATCTTCCTGCTTAACTCTTAAGTATCATGAAACAAAGGTTCAAGTACTGCTGCCTTGGAAAAAACCAAATGTATCAAACAATATTAACAACTGCTCCAGAAATGATCCAAGGAAGGAAAAAACCAGGAAATATGGAAACAGCCATTATGGTTTCTGCTTTAAAATTTTGTTATAGATTTCAGATAACTAGACCCTTCTACTTGAGCTCAGTTAAGAAGAAAATGAAACATTATGGATATTCAGTATAAACACTTGCTTGAGGTATTTTCTGATATCAAATATGTGGTATCTTTTCCAACACCAATTCCCCAACTTTCTGATTCTCTGACATCAACTGGGTGTCCCACAATCCTATTCTAACACTCACTACCCAGGTTAGTGTCAGACTGCATAGATTTAAGGGTTCAGTCCCATAAGACTGACCTCATTTCTGTCACAGTCACAAGAATCAAGTCCCCAGGTTACCCGTACTTCTGTCTGATTTAGCTACAAATTCAGGGGTTCTCACAACATTCAGGTTCAATAATTTGATAGAACAACTCACAGAACTCAGGAAAATGCTATATTTACTATTACAGTTTATTATAAAGGATAAAAATGAACAGATGATGAAGTACATGGGGCAAGGTCTGAAAGAGCCTTTAGCACGAGAGCTTCTGTCCCTGTAGAGCTGGTATATTCCATCCTCCTGGGACATGGATGTGTTCACCAACTCAGGAGCTCGTCAGTCCCTGTTGTTGACAGGTCTTTAAGGAAGTTCCATTACTTGGCTTGATTGATTAAAGATTGATTAAATCATTGGCTGTTGATTGAATTCAATCTCCAGTCCCAGAGGTTGGGAGGTGGGGCAGAGAGTTCCAATTCTCTTAACACACAGTTGGTTCTTCTGGCAACCATTTCCCATCCTGAAGCTATCTAGAAGCCCACTGAGAGTCCCCTCATTCATTTAAACTCAGGTACAGTTGAAAGGGGCATGTTACAAATAACAAAAGATGTTCCTTATCACTTTTATCACTCAGAAAATTCCAAGGATTGTTAGGAGGTCTGTGCTAGGATTTGGAGACCAAGACCAAATATATTTTTTATTATGTCACAGCTGGGTTTCCTCCAGGTAGTGGAGAAGAGGTTTTGGATGTATGGCAAGGAGAGATATTTTTCCTTTAATGTGGGACATTCCCGAATCCCTTTCCTGGGTACACCCATTGTATCAATTAACTGTTGCTGCCCACCATATTATCCTCAAAACAACATACATTAATTGCCTCACAGTTTCTGAGGGACAGGAATTGAAGTACAGCATAGCTAGGTTCCTCTGGCTCATAGTCACCCATGAGGTTGCAGTGAAGCTGTCAGCAAGAGCTGTGGTCTCATCAGAAGACACTACTGGGGTGTCTACTGGGGTAGCATCTGCTACCAAGCTCACCATGTGGTTGTGGGCAGACCTCAGTCCTCACCATGTGAGCCTCTCTCTAGGGCTGATCACGACATGGCAGCTTGATTCCCCCAAAACAACTACTCCAAGTGAGAGAAAACAAGAAAGAGCCTCCAAGGTAGAAGTCCCAGTCTTTTTACAACTTAGAAGTAATATCCTATCACTTCTGCCATATTCTGTTCATTAGATGTGAGTCAGTAAATCCACTGAGGGAATTATGCAAGGGCACGAACACCAGGCGGTGGGATCATTGAACCCATCTTACAGGCTACCTACCACATCCACCCAAGCATAATGGATCTTAATTTGGTAAGTGGTAAGAAACACCGGACCACAGATGAGAAGGGAAACTCTACAGACATTTACTGCTTGCTTTGTCACTTTTACTTTCTAAAGCTTCTCCAAAGTTTGGCTCAAAGTGTTTTCATTGGTCAAAACCAATTGTGATTAATTTTATAGTCAGTAGCTGGATCTCAGCAAGAAATCTGTATACCATGAAGGAAGTAAAATCCTAGTTGAAGAAAATGAGTTTATTTGTTTACCATCAAGTGAGTAATGATCTCATATGCCCATCTTTTTAAAGGGAGAACCAGGTTTCATTGGTCCTCAAGGAGAACCAGGCTTGCCAGGGTTACCAGGAACAAAAGTAAGTGGAGTCTTTTTTCCTTCCTTTCTTTCTGATATTTTTGCCACGTGTTTTTAGTCCATTATGTTGAAAAAAATGTGGATAACTATTATTTAGGTGACCAGATATTTTTGCCTAATAGAGAACTAAAGCAGCTTAATCTACCCATTACTAAACTTCTTATGGGAACACCATGTTAAATAGACTAATGGGAAGTTAATTCCAAAAAGCCTTAGGCAAGACAAGAGGATGGTGGAATATATTAGTTGTTACAATTGTCCCCCAAACTACTCCCAAACTGATATGATGCTATTTGCTTCCTAGCCATAGGGAAAAGTAGGGGAATTCTGAGGAGGAGAGAGAGACCTCATTAACTCCCACTCCTCATCACCAATTTTAAGATATACTTGTAAATCAGACATTATTACTATTCCCATCACTCCCTAGATTTCAAAGGCGAGTACTGATGTCATATCATAAGTGCCTCATCCCAAAAGGATTCACCCTGAGTAACGTCTGCAGAAATAGTCTGTAATGAAAACCAGCTCAGGATCTTCTATTTGGCAACCCTAGAGAGGGCCCTAAAAGCAAAATCTATATGCTGCCGTGTAAAAAAATATGTTGCTGCAGACACAGTCAGGCCCATAGTTCTCTTTTTATCTACTCAGTGAGTTATAAAGAGGTGCAGCTCTGATGATGGGGCTTTACTCATGACAGACTCATGAATCAAAGAAGGGGCAAAATTACATCAAACTACATTATTTTTATTTTTAAACCATAGTAGTCTTTGCCTCAATGTGTATTGCATTCACCAGAAATAAGCCAGGGATGATTTCCAAGAGTTATAGAAATACGTTCACAGTCTGTTCTGACAGAGCAGTCCTCATTTCCACTGGTCAAGTGAAAATAACCCTAATCCTAGTAAATGGAAACTATGAGTGGCCTAAAGGAGACTGAAACTCGGTCGAATTATGCAAAATGGTTGTTTTCTTAAGAAAGTTCATTTTCACATAATGAGCTGTTGGGCTTATTAACAAAATGTGAGGAATGCCTGTTTTAGCCGGAACAGATTGACACAAGAAATGCCTTTCTGGAATAAAAAGAGAGCGCGAGAGAGTAACGAGTATTTGCGGTGAATTTAAGAACTGCTGTATTGATTCAGGCTCTGCAGCCTCAGCCAGGTGAGGAAAGAAGGCGGCCTCATGCATGGGTGCCATGCACAAAGGAAGGGCAGAATTAGTCAGTGGAGAAGAAAACGAGGCATGAGCTGGTGTATAAATGTTTGTGGCATTTCGTTTGCTATACAAGGGTAAATAGAAGAAACACAGGGGCCGACCCTGTGGCTCACTCGGGTGAGTGCGGCTCTGGGAGCGCGGCGGCTCTGGGAGCGCCGAGGCCGCGGGTTCGGATTCTGTATAGGGATGGCCGGTGCGCTCAGTGGCTGAGCGCTGTGTGGGCGACACCAAGCCAAGGGTTACGGTCCCCTTACCGGTCACAAAAAAAAAGAAAAGAAACACAGGCAGCAGCATGTGGAGTTCATCCCTATGTATCTTTTCTTTAATTAACTGATTTCAAACTATTCTGAAGTTTCAAGACTGCATTTTTCACACTTAACACAGTGAGAGATCATAATGAAGAAACATGTGTAATGTAAAATCTGTTTTATGTACAGCCGTATCCTGAGTGCCTGTATCAGTGCCCGGGAGAGATCTACGTCTAAAGAAATGGGGTTTTAGTCAGAATATTTTAGAATACTTTGACTAATACTGTTTATTCATCAATTCAGCAAATTTTTTGCCAGATATTTTTCTGTGTCTGAGGATGGGAGGTAAATGCAGCAAAAACAGTTCCTGTTCGTCTGAAGCTTCCATTCCAGTACAGGCGAAGGAGGGGCAGAAGGAGAGAAAGGAAACAAATAACATGATTTCAGAGAGTGACAGGGAACTAATTAGGGGCATTGTGATAAAAAGTGATCCTGTGTAAAGCTAGAGACTCCACTTCTGTGGTAAACCACAGGCAAATGATTTTGTAAGGTTTTTATTTTTTTCCTAAAATAAGTTTATAGTTAATATTTTTTAATTCTTCTGTAATTCTCAAAGTAAAATATTAAAAGAAACACCAAATACTGTATTTTTAAAAAATAAAATAAACATTCCATATACCAAATTAAGCCCTTCAGTCTCACTCTACGGGGGTCAGATGGGGGGCAAAAAGAAAGAAGGTTCAGAAGAAGCTTCAGTTTCTGGATTATTTTTTCCATCTCCTATTTTTAGTTTAGTCCCTCACCTTAATCCCAACCTCTCCATTTTTACACCCTCCTCAGTTGATGCTGAGAACCTGACGTTTTCTCCACCCTTCCCACAACCTATCCCACCTCTCCTACAAAACCAGAAAGGCTTCCCCAAGTGGGCACGATATAGATAAGGATCGTGGAATTCAGAGCCCTCCATTTCCCATCACAGCTCCAATCCGTTTTCTTCTCCCTTCCAAGGTGAATCTGCGAGGGCATTTTTCTCCTCCATAAACACACCATTCACAGTCTGAATTCTAAATCCGTATGATTATTGAAATTCTACCCATCATTCAGGAAGCCTGACACACTCTACTCTGTTTTTAGGGAGTATAAAGCCACACCATATTCCTGGAGGGCAATTTGGCAAGCTTTTAAAATGTTCATACTTTTTGATCCAGCAGCTCCCCAACTAGGAATTTATCCTAAGAAAATGATCTGAGATATGCAAAAGATTTACATACAAAAAAATTATGCAAAAATTGAAGATTGAGCACAATCAGTTTTAAATTGATTATTTAAATCAGCTCTTCCACTTTAGAAGTTTTCAGACTTTGGGCAAGTTACTTAACTTCTCTGAGCTTCAACTTCCTCTTCCACAGAATGTGGATAATAACACCTTTCTCATTTGTCCTGAGAATTAAATAGGATAATGCATGGCAAGCATTTTGTGCAGTTACTGCACTCACCAATGGTACAGCTGTCAACGGCAATAATTATAAGCAAGTCCTACACGTATTTCAGGACATGATTCAAGTCTTACCTCCAGGGAGCCAATCTATACCATTCATAACCCAATGAGATTCCTTCTTTTGTCACAGATAATCTTATGTTACTCCTTAATTCTTAACTATTTTGTTCATGTGTACCTAATGTGCCTAACTGGATCACTAGCTCCTTGAGGACAGTAGTCACATTTATACTTCACAGAGCTGTAAATATATTAAAAAGCTTTAACACCTGTGTGTCTTGCACCATTCTCCACACTTTACTTCATAAGTTTTGAGATCAGTACTATGCTTTTCTCCATTCTACAGAGGAAACTGAAACTTACAGAACTTAACTAACTTGCTCCCAAAATAGAACTGGTAAATAATAGAGCCAGAATTAAAACTTAAGATGTTGGATTATAAAGCCTAGGACTTAACCACTTTGCTATGCTTCTTGCCAGTAGTACTTAAAACATGGCAGCAGACTGAAAACGGCTGTCCATGCCTGTCTTGAGGTATAATGACAGTTATTATCAATTTCTTCTGTTTGCCAGCATAGCTATCTGACAGGCATTTACCAAACCATTCTTTTATCTATCAAATGGAGATGATAATGCAAACATTGAATAATTGTGTATTAGGGTTCTCCAGAGAGACAGAACCATTTAGTCAGAGAATTGGCCCACATGATTCTGAAGGCTGGGAAGTCCCACAATAGGCCATCTGCAAGCCAGAGGCCCAGGAAAGCAGGTAGCGTGGCTCAGTCTAAGTCTGAAAGCCTCAGAACTAGGGAAACCGATGGTGTAACTCTTGCTTTGAAGTCCAAGGCCTGTGAACCTGGGGGGCTGCTTGTGCAAGTCCCATACTAGAAAGGCTGGAGAACCTGGAGTTCTGACATCCAAGGGCAGGAGAAGGGTATCCCAGCTCCAGGAGCGAGAAAGCAAATTCACCTTTCCTCTGCCTTTTTGTTCTACCTGGGTCTCCAGCTTATGGGATGGTACCTGCCCACATTGAGGGCAGACCTTCCCCACTCAGTCCACTGATTCATACACCAATCTTTGGAAGTATCCTCACAGACACACCCAGAAATCATGCTTTACCAGCTGTCTGAGTATCCCTTAATCCAGTCAAGTTGACACCTAAAATTAACCATCACAAATTGTTTTGGTTATTAAATGAGATGATTTTTGTTAAGATTAATACAGTGCTGGGTACATGGCAAATTAATGGTAACTCTGCTTTCTTTAATTTTATTCATTTCATTTATCAATCTACAGGGACTAGGTTTGGGGGGTGGGGGTTGCCATTCACCTGTTTTGCAATTTGTGACAGGGTGAACGTGGGGAGGCAGGGCCTCCTGGAAGAGGTGAGCGAGGGGATCCTGGAGCCCCTGGACCAAAGGTCAGTTATCCTTACACTGGAAGGTAACATTCTTTGGTTTGAAAATGTGGACCACTTGCTCTAGAACATGAAACTAAAATTCGCCAACAGGTATTAAAACAGCCAAAATCACAAAGAATTTCTAGAAATGCACACTGATTGGGTCTCTTCAAAAGGGCTTTTACAATTCAACTTTCCCTGTTTACTTTGTTCTGTTCAGCCAACAAATTTAAGAACATACCCAAATGAAAGGGAGAGGTTCTGTCACATTAACACATTATCACTCAATGTGTGTTAAATCTTACTCAGAAAGATCTCTGTTGATAAGTGCTGTGTTCGTTTCTATGGTAACTTGATGGCATGCAACACCTTGAAAATATTAGAGCTAAGGATTTACTTGACTATTCAATCTTTAGTCATCTAAACTTCCTGCAAATTAATGTGGTCACACTTTATTTTAATAACCCATCCTAGAGATACAGGGAAATGATTTACTCTCTGATAAAAAGAAAATTTATGCAAACACTGTTGAGACTAATGAGAATTATTCACAGAATGCTTTCCATTCCCTGATGGGAGGGCAGTCTTCGGAGTAATAATGGAAGGAAGGGTGCTGGGGAGACCAGAGAATGAACTAATGATACAGTAATGATACTTATGTTTAGTGTTGTAATAACCAACATTATGTAGAGCATAAGGTATTGAGGCAATTAAAATAAAGTGTTTCCATTTTTCTTCATGATTCTGTGTCACTGCTAATTCCTTTTTTTCTGTTCTTATCTGTCATTTTCTCTGTTTCATCTTCTTATTCTCCTATACTAGGGGAAACAAGGTGAATCAGGAACTAGAGGCCCTAAAGGGTCAAAGGTCAGTAAACAGATAACCATTTTAATCTAACAGGAGGACTTCAAGATCTGTGTTTTTGCCTTTTCCACAGAGAATAAGGTTTAGATTAAATGCTTTCACACACTGGGATTGCAATAATTTCATCCCTATGACAATATCTCAAAACAAGCGGGTTGTTTTATCTTGGTTGTTTTTGTATATTCTTGTATTTCAGCCTATTCTTTTTAAAAAGTTATATTTTCTCTTTCGTAAGAATAGCCTCTTTGGAAAAAATTAAGTACTTATTTTAAATTATGTATTATATAGTCTTATTTTTTATTCTCTGGCTATCTGTGATAAATGTTCAAATTATACTTTGCTTTTAAGTTAGTTGACTTCCTTCATTGCATTAAAATTTTACCACCAATTGGAATTCTTCCCTTTATCATTCTCTTTATACTATCTGCAATAAGATATATATTGTTAGCATAATCATGTTTTTAAAGTGCTGTTAGCTAATAACATGAAAAATGGGTGCAAAATGAAGAAAACAGAGCAGAGATTAATTTTCCATTCAAAGCAAGTTTAATTATTATTGTCAATGTTATTAGCTATATAATATGGATGGGAAAAATTACAACCCTTTTTCCGGCTTATCTTCATTGGTTCTTGCCCACTTTATAGAGATTTATAGAAAGATGTATAAAAATGCTCTGATTTCCACATAGGAAAAGGACTCCATAAACTTAAGGCTGTTTTAAAGAACCTTCAAATCTATACAGTTCAAATTTTTTCTCGAAAGTTTCAGTTTAGACTTCTGAGAATTTTGAGGGCTTAGACTATTCCTGGTGTCTCTACAGGTGGGGTAATGACACCATAAATGAACCATCAGAGATTTAGAGAGAGAGAGAGAGAAAAATATGCACTGGGTTTGCTCTGCCTCTGACCTTCAGCCCTACCAACCTGGTCTGGCTGGCTGCTGTCCACTTCAGCACCGTCTGTGTTAAAACTCAAGTCCCTACACATAAACTTTTCCCTTATCCTCATTATCAGAGGGAGGCCTAGCCTGTGAACTTCATTTCCTAATTCTCCCAAGAAAGTGCTCTCCATTCCAGCCCTGTCCAGATTATCTATACTTTTCTTCTCAGAGAACAGACAACACAACTGCTTGACTCTTTTCCCCTTTTTCCCAAGTCTCTTCAAATAAAAAATAAAAATAAAAAATAAATATAAAATTTTTTTTAAATAACATAATTTTTTAAATAATTTAAAAATTAAAATAATAAAAATGGCTCAATCAGAAAGGTAAAAGCTTACTTTGGGTACCATAGAAACCACTTACTTTGTTTTTGCAGATCCCACCTAGCGAGAGAGTTGCCATATATATGAGTATTGTTGTTCCAAGTTCTCTGTTATCTGAAAGGGGAATTTTAAATCCCTTCAAGCTGCACCTTTAAAAAGCATTTACCATTTAGGTGTTGGCAGTTGTCGTTGTCTTTCATTTCATAAGTTCACATTAAAAGTGCTGCTGTATGGTATAAATACATCCTCAGACCTGAGAGATTTCTAGAGTGTTAACCCCACTACTAATTAACTTTTTTCTCTTTTCATTGGAAAAAGGGTGATCATGGAGACAAAGGGGACTCTGGAGCTCTGGGACCAAGGGTGAGTGTGCCTCTCATCTAAATTCTTGCCCCTTAAAAGCCCAGATTTGAAGTAGTGTCCATATGGCTTTTGGAAAGGTACTTGGACTGATAATACCCAATAATAGCATTGGAGGGAGACTACTGTAATTATTCCTGCTACCCTCCCTCCCCACTTTATCTTTGATTTTAGACACCAGGAGCAGTGAGTGTGGAGATTCTAACAAATAAAATAAACTTTCTTGAGAAAGAGGTCTAAAGAACACTTTTTATCTACTTTTCCTCTGCTAAATGAGTACACTGGAAGATAACATTCTTTGATTTGAAAATGTGGACCACTTGCTCTAGAACATGAAACTAAAATTCACCAACAGGTATTAAAACAGCCAAAATCACAAAGAATTTCTAGAAATGCACACCCATAGCCCATCCAGCTAATATAATTTTCTATTTTTCAATAAACTCAATTACAAAGAAAGTAATAACCTATATGTTTAGAGTCCTTTTTTAAAAAAAGAAGGGAATTAAGACATGATTAATAAAAATTAAATAGCAGATCTTATAACTAGGGTAGAGTCTTAAAAAATTATATATATATAGGAGCAGTGGAGTCCTCTGAGATCAGAGGGGTGGGGAAGCTATATATATATATATATACACACACACATATATATATATACACACACACACACACATATATATGTTCCCTTTTTGGTTTAATTTTCATGGTATCCTATTCCTGTTGGGAAATCCAAGCATTTCCCATGGAACAATATTCAATCTTCTTAAAGAATGAGGAAGCAAGCCATGAGGTATAGATGAGTAAGATGAGGTTAGGGGTTGCTTTAATATATATGGATAAAGCCAGTAAAATTTTGCAATTCACATCAGATTGCCCTATATTTTATAATTTTCAGAAAATAGTTTCAGAGGTTAAATCATATCTTTTCAAATCAGATTTCATATCTTTAACCTACCACAGACAGGAAGTTAGAAGTGGTTTGCCTTTTTTGAATTACAGACAAAATTTGAATGTAAGTATTTATTCTAAAGTGCAGTTGGGCCTTAGTAGGAAAATGATGTCCAGAGAGCTGCAAGTTGCTATTTCTGACTTATATACTAGCATAACTCCAATGATTTATGCCTGGTTGATTTTTGTCATAGGGTCCACCTGGTCAAAAAGGGGATCAAGGAGCCACTGAGATCATAGACTACAATGGCAACCTCCATGAAGCCCTACAGGCAAGTGACTGCTGCCCACCCTGACACACACTGAGGACAACACTGATGAGCACCCATGTAACACATGTAAAGATGGGCTTCCCCACCCCTCTGATCTCAGAGAACTCCACTGCTCCAAGCACACCTCCCTGTTCCCCTGAACCCATCCCCTTCTCTCTGCCCCAGTTTAACTTCCTTATTTCATGGCACTTTTCAGTCCCTCCTTTTCTTATCCTTATGCATTCAGATACACTTAAGCCTTATCAGGTGTAAATCTTGTGTTAGTTTGGCCAGTTTTGCCTTTTTGTGTGAAGAGAGAGTTTAGCAAAGCTCTGTAGCACTGGAGCTGGAGGTGCTTGGGTTCAAATCTCCATTCTCTTGCTTACTAAATGTGTGACCTAGGACAGTTATTTCACTTCTCTGTGTCTCAGTTTCCCCATCTGTAAAAGGATGGTGGTAGTAGTATCTGCCTCATGGGGTTGTTGAGAGAAGCAAATGGCTAAATACATATTACTCACTCAGAACAGTGCTCGTCACATAGTAAGCCCTCTGTAAGTACTTCTTATTACTGCTACCATTTGATTTTTTTCTTCCATTAGGTAAAAAATAGACTGTGTGGCTTGTCTCCACCACCTTTGCTTCCTATTCATGCTTTTCATGCTTAACCTCTTTCATTCTAGTCTCTACCATCATTCCATTGCAACTTGTCTTACAAAGGTCAACGATAGCCTCTAGGTCAAGCCCCATGGTACCCATAGCCCTTGACTTTTCTGTGACATTTACACTAAACCACCTTCCTCTAGAAACTCTTTCTTTTTGGTCTCTCTGAACTTCTACTTTCATTTCTTCCATTTTTCTCCTCTGATGGATCCACTCTATTTTGGCATTTTCCAATTTCTCTGTTCATCCTCTAATTTTTGGTAGCCTCAGGTCTCTGATCTTTTCTCGGTACAGTCACTCCCTCTTTGTTCTTCCACATTATGGCTCCCTGTTCTTTCATCTCTGGGTCTACCCTGTGTATCCCTCCAGCTGTCAAAGAATCTTCCTGCTATGGACATACCGTTGCCTTCTTGACTTCCATCAATACATGCGATGACTCTGGTTACCTTTCCCACCTGACGAAGAATTCCCTTTCTTAACTAACCAATTTTTTTTAGTGATACCATGAGTTTTTGAGTTTCTTGGGGTAGAAATGTTAGAGCCATTTTTAAACTATTCTTAGTCTTTTATCCATTCCATCTTACCAGCTGCTACTTCCTTTTTCAAAGTGTCTGTTGAGGTTGCCCATTCTCTCCATTCCCAATCAGATCCATGTGCTGTTTACTTCATGCCTAACGTGGTAACGATCCCTTGACCAATTCCTCTTCCTTTGGTGCCTCCCTGCCCTTCTGATCCATCCTGTGGATCATGCCAAGGCTAATTTGCATAGACTTGGTGGCTCTAATTTGCTCAGAAACCTGAATGATCCCCTATTGCCTACTCTATCAAGCCCATGGGCTCTATGGTCCAGAACTGTTCATTTTTCCGCCAAAGAGTTTCCCTGGTGTGGTCTTTTTTACCATGTGCATACAAATCTCCTCTTTTTGCCTGGGTTTATCCCATTCTTCCTATCTTCTGTTCATCCATCTAAATCCTATTCTGCAATCCACCACTGCCATCTTGATGACTTCTTCCTCTTAATTCTTTTAAACATTAGTATCAGGGCCCAACAGTTTAACATTTAATTGTTCTTAAATTGCATAATTGATTTTAGTCTTGCCTCTTACCAGATTGTACGTTTCTTGTGACAGAAAACATGTCTTATGCTGATATTTTCTGGGCATATACATATTTAAGTGAATGATTATTGGTTGAATGAGTGATTATACTTAATTCGTATGTACAAGGAATTTCTTTGTTTGAAAGCCAAATTCGTTGTTTTAAATATTTCTCTGCCATTTTGCACCTACTTGTATGGGTCTTTTGCTACAACTACCATTTTCAACTAGTAAAGTATTTGTTAAATAGTTTTTGCAAAATCTAGCTTCAGCTTAACCTATTTTTCTGGTCTTTTCATTCTTTTTCTTCTGGTAAAATTCAGAGAAGCATGGTTACTGCTTGGAGAAATATTGCTTGGACAGTCTATTCAGTCAACAGCTTGAATTAATGTTCCTCAGTATAAGTGGAGTAGACACAAGCAGTAGCCTCTGGGTTATTATCAAGTTCTAGAACCAGTTTTCTAAATTGTCCCCTTTTTCCCACAAGCTGATAACTGCATATAAAGAGAAAAAGAGGCAGAGACAGAGAACACAAAGTTTTGTTATAACCACTATGTTTTTAAAATTCTTACTTACAAAATATAGGAGCACTGTTTTAAAAACTTAATTTAGTAGCAATGTTGTAAATTTTCCTTAAACTAATTCCAATGGCACCATAATTCTTGCTACCACCTTTACGAGGTATTCATTCTCTTATCTTCCAAGAAATGCTTCAATGTTATTGGCTATTTTCTGAAAAATAGTAAAGGAGTTTTTAAAGCATTCTTTGTGTGAATAGAGTCTGGCACAGTACAAGCTACCCTTAGCCTAAAAGAGAAATCTCTGTTTCAATCTCCCATCTACTACCAACTGAGTCATTCTGAGGAAATCGCTTAGGGCATCTATACTTCATTAATCTTATCTGCAAAATGAGAATGTTTTTGGAATAGATTTTTTTCCAAGAGCCCATGAAATCTAATATTATTCTTAGAGTTTGTTTTGTTTTTTTGTCTATTTTACTCTACCATTTTCTACCTATTTAAATATTTTTTTCATCCTTACCAGTGTGCCTAAAAGCACTGTATTTTATAAAAAAATCTGTCACCTACATCTTGGTATGAAAGGATATAGACTGTCAGTTTCTTTTTCTCGCCTTGAGTTCAGTATGACTGTAAACCAGTCAATATCCACCGTAGTCTACTAGTTCATGCTTTTATCTCAACCTAAAAATTTATCATTCTAATGGGGTTGTTAGGGCAACTCTGTGTTGTGCTTGTGAATAGCTTATGGTCATTTTTTTCACTTCAAAACTATTTATTTGTTTTCCTAACATAGTACTCTAGTGGATTAAAGGTCCCTGATGAAATCCATTAAATTAGATTAGATTAAGAAGATGTAGTACACGTTTATTCTTCTAATTCTGTAACCAGTGATAGATATTAACAGATTTGCAGATTTCATTCCATTTTTGCCTCCATTAAAGAATCTGCCCAAAATACTCTAAGATAATTAGATAAATAGGAGTATATTACAGTTATAATAATACCACATTAGGAATATAAACATTTACTGTTGGCTTTAATGAAAATTGTTATTTATATAAAGATTGCAATAAGCTATTTATTTTTATTTAAGGTGGTTAAATTTCCACAATTAGAAGTAAAACTTTTCTGTTTTCTGACTCAAGCTTTTAAAAAATTATCACCATCTAAACTAAATCTTCTCTCTAGTGTAAATTGTGGGTGATTTTGAGCTTGCATCATTATGAGAAATGAAGGAAAATAATTTTTAATTCTAAAGGGATTCATATACGCATCTCGCGGAATAAATCACATAGCCTGTTAGGCTTCATCCAATTTACAGTTGATCTAGCTCCTGTCTCCTATTCCACATCATGTCTCACTAGAGAATGGTGTGTCTTTCTCCATCACTACCAAAAATTCTGGTTTTAAATCATTACTGGAGTTCAAGAGAGAACCCTGCTGAGTTTATGTAGCTTTAACTGAGAGGAGCCAGATACAAAAAATGCAAAGCGAGCCAACAGCTTTTATACTCTTTGGTGTGTCTGCACATTGGTGCTTCCAGATGGCGGTCAAAACTATGTACTGTGAAGTTAGCTGAGTTTGCTGTCATTTGTTCAGTCAATTGGATGGAACCCTGTACAATTTTCAGGTCTTACAAACCTAGTCATTTAACAAAATCATTTAAACACCATCTGTTCCATTACCATTAATAATCTTCTTTTATTATGCAGCTTAGTATAAAAAATGGTATCCTTAAACAAAACTAGCTTTGTTTTCAGGTGGAAAAATGAATTCATATATGGCACATGTTGAAAAACCTCAGAGAGTTCAAATTTTAAACTTCCTGCCCTTTCTAAGGTTTTATGATTCTACTTTCTAGTTAAAAATGTAATATGTACTTGGAAGGCAATGGTAAAGAAATTATTTTTACTCTATAATTTTCTAAAAACCTTGTTTAAATGACTCATCTACACTATAGGAGTGAAGAAGTAGCTTTCTTGTAACTATAAATCCAATTCTTGCTCTAGGTGAATTCCTTACGAATAAAATCTGTGGTATCTTAGGCTGCACAGATGTGATGATACAAAATTCTAGGCCCTTACATTTTTTAATATAACTTTATCCCCAGTTGTGGCCACTTTGCCATTTGTCTTAGAAGCACTGATTTTTTTTTCTACTGTTTTCTCTGTAGCTATAATGACCATGACTGATTTTTATCATAGAATACAAACTTTAACCATTTGTACACATGTATAAATATATTGTTTTCTAAAGAATGATGAGCCTCATTAGAGGTTCAATTAAGTGTTTTAAGTGAGATAAAAAAAGTTAAGAAGATTTTTTTACAACAGTAATAAAAACAGCCACCCAACCTGAATCAGATTGAAATGGAGTAGTGGAAAACAAAGGGATAATGGTAAACGGATATTCACAAGTTTACATATAATCAGATGTTTCTCTATTACCAGAGTCCCTGATGGAAAATCTCCCCTCTGTGATTTCGTAAACTGGTTATAGGCCCTACAGAACTTTTAGCACAGGACCTAGACTAGAAAATATTAAAACAAAAACATGATTCATGGATTAGGGATCATGTTTTGGAGATTTATGCTTTGAGAGTACATTTTGTTACAGTTCTCCAGCACTTTAAGAAACTAGATTAATTTTATGTCACCTAATTTCTTTAGTCATGGCACACACACACACAAGTTAATTCTAATGCAGCAAATGAGCTACAGACTAAAAGAGAAAACAAATCCAGTTGGTCTTTTCAGTGTTCTCTAATAAAGGGCTCTCTAGAATAGAGCACTTTTATCAATAGCAAAATTTCTCAGTTCACAATTATGCTAACAAACCTCTAGTAAATAGTACTTTACTACATTTTTTTTTCTACATAATTGTTTAAATCAGGTTAATTAAAATTTCAGTATTTTCTTCATTCATAAAATTTTTTAAACAAGATTTTTAAAATAATTAAAAAAAAATCTTTACAACTATACTGTGTTGAAGATAGGATAATATGTTCTCAGTGTCTTGTCAATTCCTGATCAAATATCAGACTTGTCAAAATATATTCAAAAAACTTGATTATTTCAGAAATGTATTATTATACTTTAGCACACAAAATAGATAACTCTGTCTTTGTCAATACGTTTTCCCAACAGAGGATTACCACCTTAACCGTCACGGTAACTCCTATTGCATGATTTCTGTGGTTTGTGATTTTGGTGTTGGTGTTGATGCATGCTGCTGAAAATGGTACTAATGTAGCAATTGTTTTTATCTGATGTTTAATTTTATGTGTCTTTTAAACATTAATAACCTTTTACAACATTTCCACCTGTTGAATCATTTTTGTCTACTTGGTGAAAAAGTCAAGGAAAAAAAGATATTGTTAGTTTTCTTAAAAGAGTTTTGCCTTATCTTAATAATATAGCTTTGTTTTTAGGATTTGGGAAATCAAAGTCTTTGGGGTGGAAGGGCAAGGAGTGAGTCTAGAAACACAGGTAATAGTAGTAGGCTCATTCATCGCAAGAAGACACATGTGGACACAGCAGCCATTCTACATTGTCTTACAGAATCAACCCAAAAGCTTATTCAGTATTATTTTAACCTAAAATGTGTTGATACTTTAGCATGTAAGTAGGTAGATTTTATAATTATGTAACTGGTGAAATTTTTCCCCATTGCAAGTCAATATTGGGGGATATCTGATTATGATAAAAATAAGAGAGGTGTACAGTGTGCTTATTAGTTAAAGCAGGACTTCTAATGCATACACTTGCTACTTTTTAAAACTGTGCCTTTTCCTGATTTAGGGTCCCCCTGGAGCTCCTGGACCTCAAGGACCACAAGGACTAAAGGTAATTCTTTATTTACTTGTTTTCATTTACCACATACAGTGTGAAGTCTATATTAAGTGTATATATCTTTGAAAATCAATCTTACAAAATGCTGGAGAAGCTCAAATCAGCAATATTGCTTCAGAGAGTAAAGAAAGGAAATTGAGAGCTGGCCTGGAGAAAGAGGAAAAATTAGGAGGGAAGAAAGGAAAATTTGGAAAGAAGGGAGAGAAGTAAGAATGGCATTAAATTTAGGGGAGGACATTGAAAAAACAGAGTGTTAAACAACAGAAAAAGAGGTTTCATTGCAATTATAAATGTAAAGAAACACTAGATGTAGTGTATGAAAAAAAGAAAATATTTAAATAGAATAGAGTTGAAGGAAATTTACTCTGAAACTAAGAAAGATTGTTCCTTCTAATTCTTTTGTAATAAAAAGAACAAGGGAAGCTTTAACATGATGCATTCACAAATCACAATTTTAGGAATTATTTTTGAGTCATTTTTTATAACACATCCCTTTATTATATATATTCAGACATTCTTCCATTTAAATCTTATCTAATGAAACCTACTGACTACAAACAGTAGAAACCTAGAATTACCTGATTATATCTAAAATTTGTTGATGGTGTTAGCTTTATCCCTTCAAACTAAAGCTTTTTCATTCAACCATGTTTGATCAATTAACACATGGTCATTGATTCTGGCTTTTCAGAACTGAGCTACACGTGTTGAAATGTGACTTTCCTCATTGGATTTTTGTAGGAGATTCAAGTGGTTTTGAAATTCACCTTTTGTTTATGCTTCTTAAGGCAGTTTATTTGCTAAGTCCATCATATATTACACACATGCACACATGCATACATATCAGCTTTTGTACTCTTCCTTTCCTAGATATTGAAAAATAGAAATCTAGTACATAGAAAAAATTATTTTTATATTATATAAAGAAATATAAAGTAAAATATTACTGATGTCCTTGCCTATGTGAGATATATTTAGAACATAGATTCTAATATCAAACAGATTTCATGTATAACATTAATGTAAGGTTTGGGATTTTTAACTTTCTATTTTCCCCCACATTCTGGTCCCTAAGAGGTGTAACAGGAAAAAATCCTCCAATTAAGCACAGTCTTTAATTTTGTGAACATACCTGCCTGGATCCCTATTTTTTAATATTTTGGTGTAGTGAACTAGACAAACTAGAAGGAAATCTGCAGATTCCTTTTTCCTTTGTGTAGAGTTAATGAAGGTCTAAGTTCATTGCTTCATCTTCTCACTTGACTAAATCTCTAGAACCAGAATTGTTTCCAATGCTAAATATGTACCTCATTCCCCACAAACCTCAAAAGCCTCTAGGATTTTATTCTCTGCAGCCCAAAGGACTACAGAAGCCCAAAAGATATCCATCCCTTGCCCCAAAGAGAAGAAGAGGACCACTTAGCTAAAGAGTTTGTATCAATAAAACCTACATCTGCCTGGTTTTATATTCCAGTTGCTATTCCTTTACTAATTTTATTCAATAAGTAATTTTTGAGACTCTACACTGTGAAAAATACTATTGTCTAGTAAGGACAGTCACTAGTAAGAGGTTCCAACAAGGAGCTTACCGCCTAAGGAAGGAGATAGGCAAGTAAAGGCATGATCTATTATTAATAGATCAAGTGCTTTGATTAAGAGCATGTGCTGTGGAAATGCATGGGAAGGTGCCTCTAAGTCTTGGGAGTCAAGGATGGCTTTGAGTTGACACTGAAAGAGAGAAGTTGGCCAGATGAATGTGTGGACGGCAGTGCAGGGAGGGGCAAGTCATTCTCCCTGACCTCCCACCTGTGTCATCCTTCCCACTACCATCCCCATACACCCACCCCACAGTGGTCTTGTAATTGACATCTAGTGTTAGCCAATTAGTCCCTTATGCTTTCCATGATCTCTCCTTGAAAAGGTTCAGATAATTGAGGTGACTATGACCAAGAGACAGCAAAATGTAGCCCGAGTCAAGTGTGGAACTCATTTTCATCTCAGGACTGTCTGACTAGATGGGAACTTATTCAATTAGCATTTGTTTTTTATCAATAAGAATCATTTGATTTCTTACACATCAAATAACTCTTACAAACCACATCTGAGGGGTGAAGGATAAATGAATAATTCATGAATTATGTTTTTCTCTTAAACATTTGTGAGTCCCATTTTAAAGGTAAAACTTAGCAGAGCAATCAATATTGGACCCAGAGTGCTGACAAGTATTCAGACTCTGAATGGAATGAGGACTTAGCCAGGTGCATCCAACCTCAGCAGACTTGGTGGTGGTAAAATAAACTTTGCTGCTACCACAAAGACCAGGAAATCTGAAATAAGGAAAGGCCCTTTTCTCCTCCTTTTTTTGTTTCATTTACTTGAAACCACAAGATCATGCCTTCCTTAAACATTGGAAAGCTCACATTTCATGCTGTGGCCATGGCTCTTAAAGTTTTTACCAGGGAAAGGAGGTCTAGTCATTTCAATGTTGTGGTTTATAACATCACCAAACAAGCCTTTCTAGGAAATATAGCCTCAAGTTGGCTCCCTTGGTAATTTGTGAGGCAGGCCACTTACACTCAGAAGAGCTGTTTTTACAAAACTTTCATGGTGTGGGAATCAGGGATATTTGTAACAGGATTCACATAAATGACTCATTGATATAAAATAATGTCTTACCTTTCAAGGAATTTGTATGTTCAGTATCTTTTAAAACTGAAAGGTGACTAAACACTTGTTTGAATAAATCTCTTACCATATTGTTTAAATTTGTTTTTAATGGAACATCTTCAGTTTTTAAAAAAAACATAAATCATATTTTGAGTTTGTCAAAGTCCTAATAAATCATAATATAAATAGTAAATTTTAGTTCATTCCTAGCATAGTATAGGAAATTGAATTGATCCAAAAGTAATTTTAGGTGGATTAAGATATTATCTGATTTATTATATCCTTGAGTGAGGCTTTTCTGGAAATAGCACACTCACAGTCATTATGAGTTTGTATCTGCTATTCAAACTGTGCCAGTTAAAATATTATTGTAAATTCATGAGGCTTTGCATTCTGTTCTTTCTTGGTCAGCTGTTATGTTTTACTTTTTACCTAGGTTGAAAAATAAGAGAAACCATATAGATTTTGTATGGAGAAAAAATATTAACCAACTGAGGCATATAGGTTGTTGCTAGAAGATATGATCAGCTATCAAGTTTTCTCTGAAAGTTTTTTTTTCCCATTTTTGTTTAGCTTGCATCTCACATGGAGAAAAAAAACACTGAATCTTAGCTACATATAAGTATTATTGTACATAATCTTCAAGAAAGATTATTACTTCACTTACTGTAGATATGTGCTATAATATTCTTAGGTTACAATACATTTCCATATTGTTCTGTCAACCAGCTACCATCATTTTTAATTAATGTTACCAATAACAAATGGAGACAAGCCATCACTTTTTATCTTAACAGGGAGAGCAAGGATCTCCAGGAATTCCCGGAGCTGATGGAGAGCAGGTAATTTTCAAAGATATATGCGATTATTTAAAGCATCATTATTGATCACTACTTTTGTTATAGGTATGAAGCCAAAAAAGTCATGAGTGTTGATTCATGATATCATCTCTTTTTTTCAATCTGTTCTAGAGACTGTCACATTAATCTAAAAAGCAACTGGTTTTAAATTAGATATTAGTCTTGTTTGCATAAACATACAAACTATATGATGCTTTAGTTTCATTCTTAATATTCCGCATCAATCTACCAGTGACTCCTTCGTAAAATTTTTTTTTTTTTATGACTGGTAAGGGGATCCCAACCCTTGGCATGGTGTGGTCTGCACCACGCTCAGCCAGTGAGTGCACCAGCCATCCCTATATCGGATCCGAACCCGTGGCCTCGGCACTCCCAGCACTGCACTCTCCCGAGTGAGCCACGGGGCTGGCCCCTTTGTAAATTTTTAATAGACTTGTATGATCATTACCGATTTAGTAAGTATAGTCTAATTTTTGCAGTGAATACAACTAATTCAAGGTTAAAATCAGTGACATAGTTTCCATGAAATTAGATATTGCTTATATGCGTGATTTGGGTAGTGTTTTCTTTCTCCAGATAAAGATTACAACTAATTTGCTAGATCCTTAGAAAAGACAGAAACAAGCAGGACACTTGTAGCTTTTTAGAGTATGGCAGTATCTCTGAGGTTTTCTTCTAGAACAGAAGTCGGCAAACTTTTTCTTTAAAGGTTCAGATAGTAAATGTTTTTGGCTTTACAGGCCATGTACAGTCTCTGTTGCATATACTTTTTTTTTTTATATCCCTTAAAAATTTTTAAAAACTTTCAGCCTGTACAAAACAATCCCTGGGCTGGCTTTGGCTTATGAGCTATGGTTTGGCGACCCCTGCCCTAAAGGAAGAATCTGACCAGGAGAATGTAGAGAGAATTCAGAATTCATAATTGAATCAAAAGGGTTAGTTTCAAAGTATTTAATGTTTTCTGGGTTTTCATTAATTACAATAAATAAAAAGCAAAAATCAAGGAAATCGTAAGAAATCAAGAGGATTCGTGATACAGTTAGAAAACATATACTCCTCAGGAGAAAGTATTAAATAAGAAGATTAAGTTTAGGAGAAGACTTGTTTTTAATATCACAGTTGTATGTTGAAATCATATAATGCTGTAAGAAATAACTCTCCCTGAAAATGAAAATCAGAATCATTTCAGTGTAGGACTCACCTATTGACAAAATTGATCTGAAATTCTATTTTCCCAAGGATGTAACAGTCAGGAATCAGTATGCTTCTTACATGCAAATCCTGTCATTTGTAGGGACTCAAAGGCTCCAAGGGAGATACGGGGGACCCCGGTATGCCAGGTGAAAAAGGAGGAATTGGACTTCCTGGATTACCGGTATGTTTATATGTCTTATGATAGGTTCTTATTAAGATGAATTAATCAATTATAAAAGAGTTATATTATTAGCTGCAATCTCATCTAGTGGTTCATGTAATATTTTTATTTTCAGATATTTCTGGTATTATTGGTATTATTATTATTACTACAACTGGGGAACTAAAATTTTTAAGCATGTAATCAAGTAAATTATCACCTTCATGTTTTCCTGAATTATATTCACTAGAAGATAGTAAAATAAATATAATTGGTCACTTTAATTTACTATGCATAAGATGGTGTAAATGATCATTATAAAATAAATCATTGGGCCGGCCCGGTGGAGCACTGGAGAGTGCGCCGCATGGGAGCGCGGTGGCGCTCCCACTGAGGGTTCGGATCCCATGTGTAGACTGGTTCCCGCTCACTGGCTGAGCGCCGTGTGGGCGCAACACCGAGCGTTGCGATCCCGTTGCCGGTCCCCGGTACGGGCGCGACACCAAGGGTTGCAATCCCATTACCGGTCAGTAAAAAAAGACAAAAAGGAAAAAAATAAATAAATAAATCATAATAAAGAAGTAAACAAGCCAAAAAATATAGAACAATTAAAAAAACAAGTTGCTCTGGGAAGTGTTCTTTTTGTGTGTATGATACTAGAGGATGGCGTTCTTATAGTTTTCCCCTATAATTTTTACTGAGAATTTGGAGGGGAAAACATAAAAATTGTAAAAAGAAAAAAAATGTAGTAAACTTCACTGCCCTAGATCTTTTTTTAAACAAGGAAGTATATAAATAAATGTCAATGAAAACTACGTTAAAAGTTAAATAGTAAAGGTAACTCTGCACCACCATAAAAGATTTAACATTTATAAGCCAATATGTCTAACACTGTAAAGTTTAACCAATCAAGCCCAACCTAGTTTTTATTTACTTTATATTTGATTTCACACATTACCCACAATCCTAGGAATTTTAGTAAGCTTGCTGTTTTAGGCTAAAATACAAGGTGATAAATCTTTCTTTTATATATCATATGCACAATATTATAAAATTTCAAGAAGATGATGGGTTTGGGGAGAAAATTCATTTGTCTGTTACACTTTGGAAATCACTTTACCTGCTTAACTCTGCTTAATGGTTATTTGTAGGGTGCCAATGGAATGAAAGGAGAAAAAGGAGACTCTGGATTGCCAGGTCCTCAGGGTCCTTCTGTAAGTCTTTGGTGGCTGAACTTCCATGGTTCCTGGAAAACTCTGACACCAGCCTATTATTTACCTAGTTCTACCTCTGCCAGGTGGCTTATCAATAGCAGAAAGACCACAAACTCTTAGTTTGTCAAAGTGTGGAAGAAATATCTATCAGCCTTGTACAGTGAGAGACAAAGTGTCTCAGAGGTCTGAGTTACGAGCAGTTTTTCAGAGGACTGTCTAATCCTGAGGAGAAAATCAATAGTTTCCCCCCAAACACTTGTGGGCAGAGCTTTGTGAATATAGAACATACATCTTTTTTTTCCTCCAGAGCCCTGTTTATGCTTAGTGAAATATTTGAGAGTTTAATGATGGTTGTGGCATTATAGCATTTCTTGGTAATCGGTTGCTTCCTTTTCTCTTAATGTGCTTTTGATTTATTCTGGCTTGTGTAGAACAACTGTATTTCTTTGAAGTTTTTTTATTCACATAAAGGAATTTCTAAATCTGGAGAACCAAACACATCACTTCTTCCAGTCTCTGTCTTCCTCCGCAACCATTAATGGCCTTAGCAGAGCCCCAGCACAAGATTCAAGCAGAACTGCCTCATCTAAATGAAGTAACCAAACCCATGTTTATCTTTTGGATATACAGATCATAGGTCCACCAGGCCCACCAGGTCCCCATGGTCCACCTGGCCCCATGGTAAGTTTCCCTGCTCTCCAAAATGTAATCGTTGGTTTGAGCATGCTACTAGAGAAAACATGAGCACGTCCCTCTAAACAGCCAGCTTGTATTTTGTACTACTCTCTGTGGAATGGACCGAAAATATGAGATGCTTAGATATATACTGACTTGACAGTGTTGTCTTTCACTCCTCCAAATACATCTGTTGGAAAGAGAGAGAGTAGATTTGTGATAGGAGAGTTGAGGAAAGACAGGTCTGGCAAGCTTTACTCCAACCTTACTGTGTGAACATTAGCAAATTGTTTTCACCAGTCACTGCTCTAGTTTACTAGTAGCAAAATAAGATTGATAATGATAGTCATTAAAGTATGGTTCAAGGTTTGGGACCCTTTAATGAAATGTTCAATAAGAACATTTATAAAATAGTGTGATAAAAATTGAAGCTTATTCCACAAGTGATATATATTGCTTGATCTTCTCCTTTTCATTTTTATTGTACTTCAGTTGATCCATTTGAGCCAGGCCCGTGTCCCCCAGTGACCATCAGAGACAGTGACCCTGCCCTCATAGATCTCAAATCTAGTGAGGAAGGCAGCCATTAAAGAGGTATAATTCTCTACATGTCGAACTAGTGAGGGTTGTGCTAAGGCCAGAATGTGGACAGCAGACTGCTTCAAACACTTTTGAATGGGGCAGAATAGGGGCAAGTCAGGCAGGCTGTAAAGTCACATTCATCTCTAAGGTGTCTCAATAAACCTGAAGACTTTGAAAACACAGATTAAATAAATTGTGGTCACTCTTTCCTCCTATTGTGCTCTAAGAAAGAGCATGTTGAAATGATCTAAGCCACAAATGGTAACCCAGTCATTTGTTTCTTACTACCTGCTATTTCTATTTCATAAAACAAAACAGTTATAATTGAGCTTGTTTTCTTAAAACTAAACAATTCATTAAGAATTAAGCAAATGGCTACTTTTGGCTTTTTAAAAATACTCCCTCCACTTTAAATTACTAGGTTAAATTAGAAATGCTACATCCTGTTCTTATCATAAAATTAATTAGTTTAATGGAATTTTAAACCATTATTAAAATGAGATAAGGATACCTGATAAAGTAACAGCCATTTCCTGAAATTGTTTATTCACAACTTATCTAAAGGGAAAATATTATTCTAAAGTAGACAGACATATGTAACAAATATCTAGGCATTGCTTGATAACAACTTTTTCCTGCTGTTAAATAAATTCACTGATGGATATTTAAATATTTCTCTCTCTAAATAGTTTATGTTCAATCACTTGAAAAGTTTAAAGAAATCCACAGTAACCTTAGTTAATTTAAATTGTCTAATTAGTCTCTGTATTTAGACCTTCCTCAAAATACATGTTATGTACTGATTCCTGAATGTCTTATAATTTCCTTTTGTTGGTAAACAATTGTTGCAAGAGCCTTGAAGAGTTTGTCTTTGAAAAATAAAGGCAATTTAAATAGTAATGCATAGACTTCCTATGTTAGGATCCTTTCTTTAATTTTAAATTAAATCAGTGATGCTACAGGATCCCAAACTTGGCTGTCATCTCCTCACTTCCTGTCTCTTTTGGATTCTTAAACACCTTGGGTCTGGAGAAGTTAATAGAAAAGGTCTCCTCTTCCCAGAAACTTAAAATCTGGGACTTTTCTTTGTCAAATTTCTGTCTTTTAAGTCCTACCTCTATTCCATTTAAACTCATGAAGCTTCTCACATATTCCACCCAGATTAAAAAAAATGGGAATTTGACAAATAGGAATAATGTGAGTTCAAAATACTTTTTTCCCTATTTTTTTCCATATAACCCTGGCAGATTTCTCCCTCCCTCTTATAGGTATTTAGCAGACAGAATTGCTATTAATGAATTTCCTATTACAGAGCAATCCAAGAGCTCGAAGGAAGTTTTGGATGGTAGTAAATAACATCCCCTGGCTTGCCTCTAGCTATAGCTCAGACAAGAAGATCCTTGTTTTATATCTGTTTTGTTACTTGATATAATATTCACTTCTGCTGGGAAACGGAATCAATTCTTCATTAAAAGCTGTGTTTTCCATTTTCAGGGACCCCATGGACTTCCTGGGCCAAAGGTAATTCAACAAATCCTTTGATTGTTTGATTTCTGTTTCCTTGATAATCATGGAGAAGCATGACGGAAGCATGTCTGTCCTGTCTTATTTATTTGTCAAACAACGTTGATAATCTTTAAGCCTTTAAGTATCCAGATGTTTAAATCTCACAGTACAGAATGATTTACAACAAACTTAAGTGCTATCACCTGGAGATAGTTATTCCTCATTTTGCCTATTCCTTGTCACTATGTAAGTTTCTTAAATTACTAATCACAATATACTCCAATCAGCCATTTAGAAGTGAATCTGATGAGGTTCTCAGACTAGTCAACACTAGTTTTTTATTTTTATGGTGTCTCCGGTTGTATATTTGAATGTTATTAATTGATACTTCTTGCTTGCCATATAGTACTACTACTGCATCTAAATGCTTTGACTATCCAACATCTTGATTTTGTACTCCACTAGAGGTCAATGGCCTAGAATGGGAAGGGCTATATCAGGTGTGCTATGCTGGGGAGAAGGTCACATCACTTACATGTATTTTATATACTATTTGGGTTAAAAAGAGAACAATGGAGAATAGCCTTTCCTTGTCAGAATTACTGCAGCTTGCATTGTCAACATGGTCACCGCCTGTTCTTTGCCTTGTGTAGAAGGAGAAGACATCCTGGAGGATTAAAATGAGCCCTGAAACACAAGCTGCTTCCTCCAGGGAGTATATGTGAGGAGGACCCATGTTCTAATTTCGGCTTTGCCACTGACAGGCTGTCACCTTGGGCAGGTTATTGACCCTCTCTGATCCTTCATTTATTCAACTGGGTAACCTACCTCATAGTGTTGTTGTGATAATCTAATGAGATATGATTATAAAGTGCAAAGCAGATATATATATGGTGCAGTTGCTGATAAATACCTGATAAAAGTCAGTTGTAGGGTTGGCCAGTTAGCTCAGTTGGTTAGAGGTGGTGCTGATAACACTGAGATCCAGGGTTTGATCCCTATACCAGGCAGGCACCAAAAAAAAAAAAAAAAAGTCAGTTATTGTTGCTATTTGATGCTTTATTCTGAACAGAAAAATTCCATAGCTCGTCCTCAAGGCTACTTGAGAGAAGGCTTAAGGAATGCCAAAAGTTCGTCAGTAGTGAGTTGGTGCATTTAAAAGGTGGGGGTGAAGAGACATAAATGCAATGTTAGCCCTAAGCATCAGAAAACCCAGTGGCAGCCCACCCTCTCCTCTCGGAAGTGTGGCTCCTTTCTGGCCCTCCCAGCTCTAGCAAGTATTGGTCTGAGTCAGGAAACCTGAGTTTCCTTTGTCAAGTCAAGAAGGTGACACCCAAGAGTGGGAGGAATTCATGCCTCTTTATTATTCTTAGAACAACTTACCTCTATTAAGGCCAGTGAGTGATGGTTTTTCAGAAGTATGGATGAGAGTTTGGGGTGCAAATACTGTTCTGGGAGTCAGAACAGAGAGCTCCGTCTATAGGCTTTGTGATCTTGGTAGTTATTTCACTTCCCTGGGTCTTCTTTCCCACTCTGGACTAAATCAATGCTTCTCACTCTTGGCTTCTCTTTGGATTTTAAGATGCCACCAGACTTAAGATGCCAAAGATCAGACTAATCATGATGACTGAGGACAAAGCCCCTAAGAGTGTTTTTAATTCATTCCATGAATGATTCAGATAGGCCATCACCACTGGATTAGGAGATGCCCAAGATCCTTTTGATATCTGAAATGCAACAATTCATTTTGTCCACACAGCTTTAATTGCTACTTAAATCATAGATTTCAGAGAATTATAAAGTTGAAAAGACCTCACAGATTACCTTTGCTAGTTCCTTGATTTTACAGATGATAAACTACAGGCCAGGAAGTTTAGGTTATTTGCCCCAAATTATATAGCTAGTTAATGACAGATCTAGGACTAGAATTTCAATTGATGTCCACTCCTATCGATGCATGACTCCCCACCAAAGAATTTCATAGCTTACCAAAGTTACCATGCCTGCTCACCATCTCAACAACACTTGCTGAAAATGCACACACATGCAAAGCCACGGATCTCAAGTTTACACCAGTTAACTGAAGTTGACCATTGAGCCTTGGTCTTAATATCATTTAACCTGACTCTGTGGCATTCCCTCTATCATACTTTACTGATCATAGCACATCTGGGTTTCCTATAGTGGCTGCACTGTAAACGTCTATCTTCAAAATATCGAAAATCCACCATGTTGTGCCAATGTTTTCATTACTTTGTGACCCCTTTGAATGTTCAAATACATGGCCTTTAAGCATTTAAAGTTCTATGGATGAATCTCGCTCAGTGTTTCCCAGAATTCCCTGACGAGGAGTCAGCTGGAGGGCTTATTAAAGGTGTACCCATTCCTGTGGTACTACAGTCTGGGTGGGCCTGGACTCTTTATGGCTAACATGCACCACACTGATTTTCATCTTCAAGCAAATTGGGTAAATACCCAATTTCGTACTGCCCAGATTAAACGTCCCTCCTGCCATGTGAGCATAACCTCTCCCCACTCCTGCCCCCACACAGCAAGACTCTGTAGGGCATTTGAGTCTGGAATCATCTTCCTTTCACAAGTCTTTCAAGATTTTCTTGACAAATTAATGTCTGTACTTAAAAGTTGAAAAGAGGCTGGCCAATTAGCTTGGTTGGTTACAGTGTGGTACTGATAACACCAAGGTCCAGGGTTGAATCCCTATAGCATCCAGCTGCCAAAAAAAAAATAATAAATTTTTTTTGAAAAGTATACAGGGCAGAAGTTTCTCTATCTCTAACATGCTGTTACTGATGGAAAATAGGTGTACTGTATTCCTAGATTTTAAAAACAGAATCAAGAGAATTTATCACTTACCCTGGATTTTGTAATGTCACCCTCAGTTAAATTCATACCTCCTTTATACTAACATTGGGCAGACAGACAGTTAGTAAAACAATGTAAGTTCTCTGATCTTCATATTCTCTTCTGGGATTGGCGATTTGTTGTCGACTCTATTGATTAATCCATGTAGGGACTTGACTTGGCAATGTCCATGAATGAGGACTTGCTAAATGGCATTACTTCAAACATCAGCTGCTACATTTTTAGCTCATTCCCCTGGGCAAAATGCTTAAAGGCTTAAAATGTCTGTCTGTAATACTGTCCTGCATATTCCAGTTTTCCATTCCAGCAGAGTGGGTTTTTCCCACTGAACCTCCCTCAGCATCCTGCACTCTGATTGTCCTTGATTTGCTTGATCAGAACAATGTAGTATAACACTAATTTCCTTGAGATAGAACTGAAAAATTCAGGAACTCAGTCATACATATTTTGATTGTGAGGTGCACACTTAGTTTTGCTTCCTAGAATATTATTTGTCAGTTTCAAGGTTTTTAATAAATTTTTTAAATTAATTTTTGAACTGATGCAAGACAAATCTAGCCTGACTCTGCTGTTACCTAAAACTGGAATCTGCAACAATTTCAGAGACTGGCTCTCTTCTCTCACAGTTTAAACACCCATAATAGCAACCAAAATTGGCATTTGCTTTTGCATTTAGGGTGAACCAGGGTTAAATGGTGTTAAAGGATTGAAGGGTGAACCAGGTCAAAAGGGTGACAGAGGACCCCTTGGTCTTCCAGTAAGTAAAGAATGCTTTCCATTTCAGTGCAAATCTCAGATTTTTCTTTCTACCCTAAGTAACAACTCTGGTTTACTCAGTGGCTATTTTACTGCTGAGATTTCTGTAATTAGAAAACATATTATGTTGGGAGAGAGGTTTCGGTAATGGGCTACAATAATCAACCACATTGTATATTGACAAAATAAAATAAAACAAAAAAAAAAAAAAAAAGAAAACATATTATGTTAAAGCAGAGATCAGCCCAGTTTTGTTTTCTCTGTTGCCTGCTCTTGTGTTAGAGGAAGGCCCATAACAAACCGTGCTATAAATGTTCTTCCATTACATACATGCCAACCTTCCTCTTTTAGGGCTGACAGTTCTTCTCCCATCATTCTGCTCTTTAAAAAGTGTTGTGCTCACTATTTATTAATTTCTCCCAAATGTTTCTATGATTTAAGGCAGTTTAAAATACTCCCTCAATTGTTTTTTCTCCTCGGATACCAAAAGCTGTCGCCCTCTGTTGGCGGCAGGTGTGTAACTGGCTGTTGATGGTGTGAGATCATCGCTGTGGCTCCTTATGTTAATCAATCATACTGTGCTCTACATGTTTTATGTTGTTTGTTTTAGAAATTTTCTGTTACAAGGTTCTTATGAAAAGAATATCATGGAAGAGACGGGTTGCAGTTGTTCTAGAGATTTTTATTTTTAATGAAAAAGGGATTCTCCCCACCTTAATGCACTTTGTGCAAGCCTTCTTTCCACAACTAAAAAATGATTTTTAAAAATTATCATTGAATATGAGGCTTTAATTTCAAGCTTTTCATATGCTATTTAGTCAAATCAGATAAAAGTCAATAAAGATCATTATATATTGCATTAGTAAAACATGACATAAAATCAGTAATAGAAAATAATCTATTTATGTATTTGAGATGTGAGAGAAAAAAAATTTGATGACCACTTATTTCATTTTTCCCATCGGTACTGTACTAAGGAATTCCACTTGATAGCCAGTGCCTTACATAGATCAGGCATATAGTAGATATTCAATATATATATCTTTATTGAATAAATGATATAAGCCTTCTATTAGAATATAATTAAATTACACCAATTACATCGATGGCCCACAAGCATGAAACCCCCTCTAACATCTGTGAGTCATTAATTCAGCATTCCAGGTAGATATAATATTGTATTACCCGTATAAAATTTTTACCACTTCATTTATTTTTCAATGTTATATAATTGTGACTGAAGAAAGTATCAACAGGCAAAAAAAAAAGTTTGGATTTTCTATTTTACTTAAACTTTCAATTTGATTTCTTTAAAGTTTGTCCTAATTTCAAATTTAGGGCTCTCTATAATTTTTATGCAACATTTAGACAAAAGCTCTATGCTAACATTAAACAAACAACAATGCACATTTTTAATTGTAATCATTGCTAACTAAAGATGTATTTTGCAGTTATAGTATAGATTATAATAAGATTATACAGAAGGAATTTTTAAACGAAAAACTAAAAATACCCAATATGTATATGGTATAGCATCATTGGTAGAGTTTGCAGCTGGAATAAATTTTTTCTTCCATTTGGTATTATTAACTGCATCTGAAGCATAAAATTGGGAAATAGTTCTGCAACCTTGCCAAAAGAATTTATAAGGCCAGTGCATTGTCTTTCTTAAAAATCACTTGATCTAATCAATATTTTCAAAGGACTGTAAATAATATTTGGGCTTTGAGATACAAAAGCCATATCAAAGATGTAATTATGCTTATTCTTGAAACAAGCATTGGCAATGTCATTTTTTAATCATACACTATGTCTAGCCTAGAGTTCCAGGTAAAGAAAAGCATGCATTACCTGAGAGCAACATTTTATTTTTAAGGCATTTTCCATTCAGGCTTTGATACATGGATACTTTGAAGTGAATTGAGGAACAATTTAGTATGAGAGTTATTTTTTGCTTTGTCTCATGAATTTTTTTCTGGCTTTTTCCTGTTCCTAGAAGTCCCTCTAGTGGTGACTGATGTGAACAGAAGGCATAACTCAGAAAACAATGAGTATTGTTCCTGTAAAAAGAGTCATCCTGGCATGTTAAAACCCTGCATTTGTTATTCATAAATAGTATTTTAACAAGTGTAGCTAGTTCTTTTTTCCTCCTCTGAAATGCTAAACTTGATTATTATAGTGAGCCCTTTCTTAGGAGATCACCATTATTTTTTCTTCAGAACCTAAAGAACCCCGTATTGTGGGTAGTACAGTCTTTAGAAAATGAATTTCATATGGAAATTAGATAGGAGCCTCTGTTAACAGTAACTACTTTGTAGCCCACTTTATAAACCTCATTAACTTGATTTCTAAATAAGAATTTGTCGAATAGAAATGTCATTCAAATGCCATCATCCGTGGGGTGTTTATTGTCATGTGGTTTGTTTTTTAAAACTAACAATTTGTAGCAATGTGATATTCATCCCAGAACCTGTGACTGCTAGTATGTTGTTTGAAGTGTTATATTTGTTCATCAGTACCTCATACTAATCTCTGTTCTTGTCATTCGTGTTACACCCACCAACCCTGCTACCAACCAAATCACGCAGGGAGCATCTGGCTTAGACGGAAAGCCAGGATCCCGGGTGAGTCAGCCCCTCGTCTTGCTCTGACAAGTTTCGCGGCTGTCGATCACGTGCTTCAGGGCAGACCCCCTTTGCTCCATGTACTCTCATCAAATAATGAGGGGGGTACTTAGGGCTGGAGTAAAAGGGGAGGGCAAACACAGATGGTGGCAGAAAGGGGAGAGGTGGACAGAGAACAGGTCGCAGCTCTGTTTGAAGTACAGCCTAAACTGCCAGAACATCTTTCTGAAGCCCACATTCAAGTCTGGACAATTTCTAGGTGAGAAGAATGACCAGTCTAATTGGCTTCATTGTCTTCAAATCCCAGACAGATTTTTCCATAACTGGTAGACATTCCCTAAAATTCCATGAGAGAGGCCCTCTGAAGAAATTCAAATAATGTGAATTTATAACTTTCTCTTTTAGGTTTATGTCCATCTTAGAAATGTAACTTCTTCCTTGGAACTAACTTTCAAATCTCTGTTCATAGAAATGACTTGTCTGTCCTCTGTCATGTTGTCTCTTTGGTTCTTAATGATTTCATCTGTTAAATTTCAGCTGCAGATACTTAGTATTTAGAAGTCTTCAGAAGAGGAACTCTTGAGTTCAGGCAGTAGGAAAAAGATCAGTTAAGATGAGAATTCACCATTAGAATGAGTTTGAAACTCTGAATTCTTTCATATCACAAGGCTCTAACAGAATAAACCAGAATAGTAGAATAGAAACAGGAATACTGTACAAAAATTGTGTTGGAATAGTTCCTACATTTGCAAATGTAATAAATTGTTTGCAAATCTAAGCACAGTTTTCGTGAAAAATGAGCACGTATCCTTGAAGTCCTTGCTACATTTTTAAGAATCTAAAAGAAACTCCAAGCTTTGCAATTCTAAAAACCTGCTTCAGGCGGTCATTATTTTCACTGGACTTGAGTGTTCCATGTGTATTTAAGTATTATCTTCTCTATCACAGAAATCTTAATCCTGAACTAACCAGGAGGCCAGAAGGCAGTTATGCCATTAACTCATCCAGGCTGCTTGGTTTGTGAATTGTAAGCTTGGTGACATCAGCCACTGAAGCAGAACCTATAAGAATAATTTCTTCCCTGTAAGCTCCTGCTGCTCCCAACAGAGCTGCAGAAAGTTCAGTTTGAACAGCTAAACACTGTTCTCATTTATTTCATTTTTTTCCCCACTCATATAACTGGACAAGCCTCTTAAGCAGTTGAAAACAAAGCTTCAGAGCATGCCTGAGCTATGATGTATGGAGAGAGGACTTGAGGAAGAGGTGATAGGAAGGAAAAACAGTTACATTACTCTTAAGATTATAGAAACAAAGTGAAGATGTGCCATTTAGCCAGGGAGGAAATATATAATTAAATATGATACACAGCTTTTTGTGTGTACCCTTCCTTGAAATATGCAGTTATATAATTCATCCTTTTTGCATGAGTTTCTGGAAAACCACTGGCCTGAAAGAATCAAGTATAAAAGCATTTGTAAAGAAGATGAGTTGTCTTCCTGACATTTTAAGGCATCATTCACCCAGGAAAAGTCCCGGATAAATTATAACTGCTTTTCTTGCAGCCCTTGTGATATGTCTCATATTATCTTATTTTTATATGTTTTTTTCCCCTTAGGGTACAGATGGTCCTATGGGACCCCATGGCCCTGCAGGTCCCAAAGGAGAAAGAGTAAGTTGCTTCTGAAGTTAAGCTGTGTGCTAAAGAAAAGACAGAGCATGGCTTTTCCATATTAGTTGAACTTGAATTGCTCATTTTCCAGAAGAAATAAAGGGCTATCTAATATTAAATGGAAATAGAGACCATCTTACATTCTATTCAGAGTCCTAACACTGACAGAAGAAAACCACAGAGTATAAAATAGAATATGGTGGACTTAATAAAAACAATGCATACATTTACATAGCTAAAATAAATAGCTCAGATTATTCTTCCTTAGCCCATAAGGAAGATATTTTTATTTGGACTTCATCCAGAAAATTGAAATCAATGGGGCTAAAATTTCCAGAACTACATATTCTGGTTGATAATCTTTTATATAAAGCTACTGTGTTCATTCAGAGTAAGTTATAACTTTTTTCCAAAGGAAATTACAAAACCTAAGTATTCTCCTCCGCACCATTATATATGCTCTCTCTCTCTTTATTTTTTTAGCTAAAGAATAGCCTGTTTTTCTCTAACCATAAGGAAATAATTTTAGTGCATTATAGAACAAAAACCTTTCACTAACCTCTCTATTGCTAGTCCCTGTTTCCATATCCTTGGGAAAAAAAAAAAAAAAAGACATTCAGAATGGAAGATAAATATCTGACGTGGAAAAATGTACTGCAGCATTAGCCCCTGATCATCTGTCTGGAACTTCTCTCCCTCTCTCTCTCCCACTTTTTCTTTTCCTCACCTTGAAAAACTCAGAGTTTTTTACGTGTCTGAGTAGAATTTTATCATCAGTTTCCCCACCATCCAGGATAGGATATAAAGAAAGTATCCCAATAGTGAAGGCTTCAAAATGTTGGAATGAGTTGCTGTTCAAGTTTGTAGACTTTTAAAAGCTAGGTAGATTTTCATCAGTCTGGAATAATATGCTTTAAGAAAGAGGGCCGGGTAGTGATTTCTTTGACGTGCCTCCTAATTCCATAACTCTGTGTCCTATAAAGTGACATCATTCATTCAGTAAATACTTATCAAATGCTACTATGTGCAAAGCATGGTACTATTTCTATTGTGAAATGGAAACACTCTTCTCCCGCTTATATAAAGCCTGTTTTGCTAATTTGCTCCAGTATGTAGAAGGATACCATTGTAATTGATTCATTATCCCATAGCCTTTTATTCATACTTTTATTAATACTTATATACTCAGTGCAGCGAAGGAAGCAGCTATTTTCCCGAACCTACAAGAGTTTCCAATCAAATTGCAGAGAAAAAAATGTACGCAAGAAATACCTGGAGAATGAGGCCAATGTGAATACAAATAGTACAGGCTGTACATACAATGATGAAGACTGGCTTTATCCAAGAGTGCTTCTAGAAAGAGATGAGTCTGAAAGGAACATGTAATTTGAATCTGCAATTGTCTTCTTTCTAAGCTCAAACCAACGACTTCTGAAGATCATCTTAATTAAAATATTTAAAAGCTAAGAGCCTCCATGCTGCTGCTGCAGATTCTCTGTCAGGCATTGTAGCAAAAAACCCAGCCCATGTACTAAAAATGGAGCCACAAATCTCAGGCGGTCTTTTGGCAGAATGCCCCAGGGCTCAAGAGAGTTTACCGTTTGGTAAATCAGCTGCTACTTCCGATAGCTCCACAGTGTCACAAGAGTATCAGGTCTCAGTGCTGGGGTAGAATTAACCAGAAGAGCAGATGAAATTGCTAAGAATTTTGAAGGCATAGTTTAAGTCAAATGGTGTGCAGTGTAAAGTGTTACACTTGTACTTACTCAGCATGTTAACTATCTTAACTGGATCGCATATCAGAACTCTCCAGTGCCCCTCATCCAAAGTGCTAAACTGGAGTGTGATTCTCAGTTAATGGACTGAGGCACCATCTGGACTCTCTTGAAAAAATGTCAAATTTTAAAAAGGTAGGAATCAGCAAAGGGAGACATTCTAGAATAATTCTTCAATGTAGAGAGGCAGATTAAAGAATCTAAATGAAGTTAGACCAGCCTAAAAGAATCCAGGCATTCGAGAGGCATTGTTATTCAAAACTGTTCAAATGCCTGGCTGACAGCATCAGTGTTCAGCTCTCTGCGTACCTCCCTGGCCTCAGCCACCTTCTTCATTAGGCCTTTAACTGCTTCAGAACACTACAGAGTGTGTCAAATGTGAGAGCTTCAAAAATTCTTTTGGAATTATTTAATCCAGGAAAAGAAGTTGCACGTTCAAATCCCTGTATTAATATTTCATTCCTAAAAGTATTCAAACTGGAACTATTAGGATGCTTTGGGCTCTAAGTGACAGAATCCAAACTCAGAATGGCTTAAACAATAAAGAAATGTATTGTTTTCTAAAACAAAATATCCGAAGGAGGACTCTAGGCTTTGGTTTAGTGCCCTTTTCCACATTCTGGCTTCGTCTCTTGACCACAGGCAAGCTGGTGGCAGTGGTTCTAAGCCTCCCCTCCAGTGAGCCATGGGCCAGGGAGAGAGACTGTCCCCAGTGTCTCTTCCTCAGCAGGGAGGAAATCTTCCTGAGTGGCCCAGCTGAAGGCCGCAGTCCCCGCACTGGCCAGAGCTGGGTCACATGCTCATTTCTAAAGCAGTCGCCAGCCAGAGAAATGGAATCGTCATTATTAGCTTAAGTAATTATTGGGGGCAGGCTATTCTAGAAGAGGAATTCCACAGACAGATGTTCTAGTGAAACCTTTAATCAAATAAGCCATAGTATATTCATTTTTCAAACAAAACAAAGCCAAGCTTCTCAATCAGAGAAGGCGACAGTGAGTAGTTGTATCAAAATAATCTGTGGAGATTTCTCAAACTAGACCTACTCTAGTCTGTGGAGTTATTTCAAACTAGGCCTTCTACAGTTTATGCGAACCCTCCCTTTAAACCCCTCACTTCCCACTACACACACACACACACACACACTTACACGCACACACACACACTTACACGCACACACACACACAGTCACCACACAAACATACACAGCCACCCACTGTTATAGAAATCATAAGTACCACTGCCAAATCAAAAGAAATTGATTTTGAGGCCCTTTTCATTAAAAACAAGACTTCTAATTGTATAATACTAATTATAAATACTATTTATGGCACATTTATTTTCCAGCATACAATTTCATATATATATATATTTTTTTACTTTTTGTCTTTTTTCGTGTCCGGCAATGGATCGCAACCCTCAGTGTTGCGCCCGTACCAGACCGGGACCGGCAACGGGATCGCAACCCTCGGTGTTGCTCCCACACCTCGCTCAGCCAGTGAGCAGGAACCGGTCTGTATGTGGGATCCGAACCCTCGGCGGGAGCGCCACTGCACTCCCAAGCGGCGCACTGTAGCAGTGTGCCACCGGGCCGGCCCCCAATTTCATATATTACAGTCACATTTAATCTTCAGAACAGTTTTTGCAGAATGTGTATTATTGTTCTTACTTTATAGCCAATGAAACTCTGGCACAGAAAGGTTAAGAAAGTTGCTGGCCAGAAAGTGTCAGAACTAGAATTCAAATTAAATCTGTTTCATTTAAAGCTTGAACACTTGACTGAATGCAATTGCTGCTGCTTTAGTAATAAACATGAAGTAATAAAAGCTTAACAAGCTTTTGTCATATCTATTTTCAGTAATCTCACCTGTACTATATGTGCCTCCCAGTGGCAGTGCTAATTAGCTCCACCAACCCCTTAAATTTAGATTAAAGAAGAATGTTACCAGTGACCTGAAATTTGCTCACATAGGAATCTGGGGTACAGAGAAACACAAGCAGGCAGAGTTATCAGCTTAACCTGGCATTTTACCCACCAAAGAAGATGTGTTAACTTTTAAACTTCTTCAGGGGTGTAATAAAAGAAGGTAGCATTTTTTGTTTGGCTACTCATATAAACATCACCATTAATCCTGAAGTTTTTGTACTTAATACTAACACTTTAATTTGGAGATTGCAGCAGAAGGAAACACTATTTGAAAGGCAGAATGTCTTTTCTTTTTGTTTCTTTGTTTCTTTCTTTTTTGTGGCTGGCCAGTACAGAGAGCTGAACCCTTGATCGTGGTATTACTGGTACCATGCTCTCCCAAGTGAGCTAACCAGCCAGCCCCAGAATATCTTTTAATATTACAATTATTTCATTCATCGCACCACCTCCAATAACATTTATTCTTTATAAGCATTCAAGATTATTGTTTAAACTGAGAAAAGTTATTCTATTTAAGCAGGCATTTGGAGAGAAAGTGAGGAAGGTAATGGATACACCTTATCAAACATAAAAAATTTTAAACCCTCTTTTTTGGGAAGGAAGCAAAATGTATACATGATTATATAAATTTGACTTGATTCATTCATTCAACAAATATTTACTGATGTACCAAATACTGTTCTAAGCCACGGGGATGCTGTAGGAAACAAAGCTAGAGGCCCTGGAACCCGACTATGCATATTCTAGTGAGGGCAGCAGAGAGTAAACAGGTTATAACATTCGTGTGTCTCCCGGTATGTAAGGCCATGAAGTGAAGTGCAGCCAGGTAAAGGGAGGGGACAGTCGACAAAGGCTATTTGATATTAGAAGAGGTAGTTGATAGAGGGAAAATAGCATTTTATTCTTACATTTTTAAAAAAAGTAGTAACATAATTAGTAACTAATGTTTCACACTAACGCTCAAGAGACCCAAGTGTGGCATCCTGTATATGCAAACCCTTTTGCATAACTGGGCAGCAGCAGTCTCTTACTACCCTCCTTTCAAAGGTAATTTAATAAAATATGCTGTCGTGGATGACTTTTACCGTATCCCTGGCAGTGACCGTGTAAGAGCCTATATATTTGGAATTTTGACAGAATGATACTTCCAATAGAGGCTTCATACACAGCCATAGAGAAAGTGTGGAAGATAGGTGTGCATGTATGATGTGAACTTTCTGATTTTTGTTTTAGGGTGAAAAAGGAGCCATGGGAGAGCCTGGACCCAGAGGGCCCTACGGTCTGCCTGTGAGTTTACTGTCACATGTGCAGTCACCGCCATTAGCATGCATAGATGTCCTGTCACTGACACAGTTAATCCTCCCCTTGTGGGGCAGACTAATCACATTAGAGGAGCAAAGAACAATCCACTGATTACCTACAATGTTCTTCCCAGACAGGTTACATTCAGTCTCCCACCCTCTCATCATGTACAGACTTCATGAGATTGAGAGGATCGTAAATAATGGAATAAAGAGCACTAACCTCAAAGCAGGATTTTGACTGTCAGATAACACCCTCCCTATGCCATCTGACTGGACGCTCATGACTGGCACTTCCTTGGAAGGTCACTGTATCCAAAAATGGGTGTGGAAGCTTCATTTAAAACAATAAGCTGGCCAGTTGGCTCAGTTGGAACACTGTTATAACACCAAGGTCAAAGGGTTTGGATATCCGTTCTCATAGATTATTTACTAAGACTACTCTTGCTGCTGAAAATGATTCTTCAAATTAAGTTGATATTTATGATGATTTGATTGATGTTTCTGACCTTTCTAAATTACTGTGATAAGAAATGAAATTCAGAACACAGAATGTTGGTAGTGTTCTATCTCCTGAAAATTCTCAATTACGTAGAATTCAAATTAAGACCTTGGGTTTACTTCAAAAACATTATCTTTAGAATAATTATAATTGATTCAGTAGGGTAGGGTAGGACGACAACAGAAGCATATATTGTATTAAGGTTTTTAAACACTCTGTACCTTCCACGTACTTTTTATGAACTGAGATAACAAAACCATGATTACCTCAATGCTAAACAATGCTGACTTTGAAATAGATTTCAAAATCTAATTGACAGAATCAAAGCAGCCTCTCAGGAACTTTGGGTGGATCCATAGCATGACACAGCAGGGTCATCACCATGATCATCTGCACCGTGGGGGTGAATCTGTCATCCTTGAGTAACAGTCTTATGACTCCTTTTATATTTGGGGATCATTCCTCTACAAAGCTTGCTTAAGACCAGTTTTTAAGTTGTGACCCTCACACCCTTAATATCTATAGACAGGTGCACATCTGGCCAAATTAGGACTATATTTAACAACAGTTTTCTTAAGGTGCAGCATTCGATTCCTGTACTGTCTAGCTCCTTAAAAAAAAGTTTTTATATTCTAACCTAACTACTAAATTTTAAAACTGAAGTAGCATTGATTCACATCCTCTAATAGTGCTGGTCTGTTTTAAAATCAACTAAACAATATTTTTGCTTTCATTTTAAATCCTGTGTTGATAACTTGGATACCAAACATTAAACTTCAGCAGAATATCTGTCTGTTTAACTCAACATACAATAAAAAATTTTCATGACCCTTAATTGCAACACTAACAGTTACTTTACTTGATTTAGTTAAAGAAATTTGTAATACTAAACAATAGAGAATCTTTTTCACATTTCCAAAGTAGTTCTAATATTAGTGTTGCATGTCCAGATAGCCTTAAATAAAACAACGTATTCATGAGACTTAGGAACACTAATGTAGCTACTATGGTTCTTTGGCAGGGGAAAGATGGAGAGCCTGGTCTTGATGTAAGTAATACGTACTGTAAACATCTTCCTATTGTAATAGATGTTGATGGTCTCCATCATCAATAACAGCAAGAATACTTCTTATTTTTTCTGTGCGTATAACTATGCACAAAGCATATATTGCTGTGCATGTAGACAGCAATATACAATACTCTACTGTTTGCATGAGATAAACATAAAAGCCAAAAACATAATTATCTGGTATAAAATTAATAGCTGACAGTAGATAGGGGCACTTCAAAATACTTTTGCAAATTAAGAATACTCAACATCAGCATGACCCACTTATGGAAAAATATGCATAAAATCAATATACCTCTCACATGCTACCCTTAGGGAATGGTATATTATGTTTTTTCTTACAGCATTTATGCAACATTTTTTTCCTTTTAGCATTAAGTCCCTATATATCTTATGCTAACATAAGAGTATAAAAGTAGAGAATATTAAAAGAAAATGCTTCTAGAAATGATGACTGTTCATCCTGTATTATGTGAATAATGACGATAGCAAAGTAATAACAGTTACTATTTATTGAGCACCTGTTATGTGCAGGCATCACTCTGGCATTTTGCATACATCCTCTCCTTTAATATTCACAACAGCTGCGTGATAGATATCATTAACCTCATTTTACAGTCAAGGGACTAAAGCACAGAGAGGTAAGTGATTTGCCCAAATCCACACAAATCAGTGTACTTTCCGGGATTCAAACTAATATCCTGGTATTCTTTCCACTACACGTTTTTTAGAAGAAAAAGCAAGAAACTTGTGGTGTATCAATAGAAAGCTATTATTCCTAAGTACTGCTTTACCTAAGATTTAAGATTATATGGCATGCCAGCTCTCATCAGATTTGAGTTCAGAAACATGAAATCCTAATTTTTTTCAATATGATTTTGCCAGTTACACCAATAGATCTTTTTGGTTTGCTTTTTATCCTACAGGGCTTCCCTGGCCCGCGGGGCGAGAAGGGTGATCTAGGAGAAAAGGGGGAAAAGGTGACATCTCCCTCCCAGCATGTACCTTGCTTGATTCTTTTCATGCTGATTGCTTTGCTGTTCAATGTGTGTGATTTTATCAGACACCTAACCTTTCTCCATCCTGTGCTCCAAAAACACACCGATGCCTGAACTAAGGAATCAGGTCCTCAAAGAAGAAGAAAGCTACACCACTAGAAATAAGGGCACTTTATAATCCCTAGCTATCCAAACTACAGTATTTCAACTACCTGACACCAATTTATTAAAAAATGTAATGTCCAGGGATTTAAAGAAAAAATTATTTAAGAAAGTAAAATTAAAAAGCAGAAATCTGCAGTGGTATTTTGGCAGAGTTCATCTGACTCTGTAAAGTCAACATCTCTTTTATCCTCACAAAATTCCCAGTAGAAAGACAGAAATGTATCTTGATATTTTCTATTTTAAAATGATGAACAAGCACTGAGACTGATAAACCACAGTAGGTCCATTATGCAGGGACTAGCACTTGCCACTTTCAGATTCAGAGCTGGCAGCCATAGACCTTTTAAATGAAGATATTGGTGTATTTTATGAGGTTGGTGTTGAGGTTCTGTCTCAGAACCCTCAGCTTCAGGGTATATAGGAGCTAATATCAGGCAATATGGTTTTATAAATGAAAGGAAAGTTTGGATTATGAACTTTAAATATCATTTTTTCCTTTCTTCTCCTTTGTTCTCTCTCTTTCCCTCTCTTTCCCTCTCTCTGTACTTTGCTTGAATCTTTGACCCAATAGTGAATCTAAAAATTTTTTTTTATATTGGATACAGCAAAGAAGCCAACAAAAACTCAATGCCTCAGTAGAATAGTGAAAATCTTAAAGTAGCTGGAATTGCACTTTCACAGTTCAAATTAAAACCAACTATATTTCTCAGATTAATCCATGTCCTGCTCTATTTAACTACATACTGTTTTAAAAACTCTATGAATTCCCTTGAACAATGAAGTGCATAGCTTTAGAAAAGCAAAGCCAAATGAGAGTTGTCAAGGAACGGATGTCAAGCCTGCTGTGTATGTTTTAGGTCTTAAACATCACTTAGCCTCCCATTAGTTAGAGAGCCTATGTGAGTGTTTATCCAAAAGCACCATCATCCTCCTCAATGTGATCACTTTTATTGAGCACTTACGTGCTTTCCCAAGAGCTTTACATATGATGTCTTTTAGTCTTCAAAACAACCCCCTCAGGTTGGTGCTATTTTTTCCCCATTTCACAAAGAAACAGGCATAAAAAAGTTCTTTAATTCTGAGTTATAAATTCTTACTATAAAATATACATGTTTTGAGATAAATTTTGTATACAAGCTTTCAGCCCAAGTTGAATGTGTTTTAAAGATTATATGTAATTGATGTTTACCTAATGGGTTGTATGAATCTAAAATATTATTCATTCAATAGTGTGTCAACATTATGAGGATACTCATAAGCTTTTAAACAAGGAAAAAATTACCAGTATTATATGGCTTATCAAAGTATAAAGCTACAAACTTGATCCTCAGAATAATGTTAATCACCCATGCAAAAATAATTCCATATTCAGAGTCCATGATTAGAAGCTTTATATTTAGGAAAATGATATTTTAAATGTGAACACTTTATGTATATCATTCTTTTACGTGAGAAATAAAAATTAGCAAGAACCCTCATGTGCTCATACCCACAATGACAGATGGTTTTGTGTTGCATGTGGAATCACTATGTATTACAAAACAAAGATTAATAACGTTGGTACATTATATTTTGTACAGTAGTGTCTCTTTTATAAAGTTTGAGTTTCACTAAAATTTTACTGAAAAATGATTCCTGTAGCCTGGCACAGTGACTGTCATATGGCAACGCTTTTCTGTTGAGTGGTTAATCCGAGTCGATTTACCAATCAAATAATGAATTGAATTCTAAATTAATAATAACCAACACACCTAGTCTCAGACACATGTATGTGAAGAGTCCACTGCCTTCTGGTAGGAAAGAACTCACCCAAATAAGTTTAAATCAATTTTATGTCATGGCACTGAAGTTATTTGCTAAGCAAGGATGTTGATTCATCTTGCATGAATGAGCAACTTACTTCCAAATCCTCTTTCCATCTTATTTCCTATCACACCTGCTCTCTTTCGGTGGCTTCTCAGGTCTTTGTCCTTGATCAAGATAACTAAACTACACGGAATTTCTCTATCCGAAGTATTCAAGAAGCCCAAGTGTTTTTGATTCTGAGCCTTCTGATGCAATCTTTTTGGCACACAGGAAAAAACCGAGGAGTTTTCACTCACGCTGTCAGAATGAATGTATTTATTTAAATGCATATCTCATATATTTCTGTTATGTATATGTCCTTTCATCTTTGAATATTCATGTTGTTTTGCTTCAGAGATTATTCAGTTTTATGGTAACTGCCATACTGATTGCAGAATGAATATACTAATTTAAATATGTATTGTTCGGTTTTTTTGTATTCTGCACGGCACTAACTCCCTGTCTATAAATATGCAGAGATATTTACATTAATGTGAAACAGCTGAGGTGCATTCCTTCTCCTCCTTTTGCCTCCTTTCCTTAATTCCTCCATTCCTATGATCCATGCAGATTTCCCACAACCTTTACCTTGATTTCTAAATACTAATTTCCATGGCTACATTCCCACTATGTAATTATCCTGCTTACCTCATTTTTACTGAGTCCAAAGTTGCTTTTCCTCTCTTGAACAGATTTTTCTTTCTTTCTTTCTTTTTTTTTTGTTACATTGTGAGTAAGCTGGAAACTCATTTACCATTGTGAATAACTGGCATGAGATCAATAAGAGAGTGAATTAAAGGTGATCCTTAGGTTTAGAAATAAGTCTGTTTCTCCAGTTGGCATTGCTGTGTAGTATTAGCACTTTTAACATTTGTTTACCAGACTTAATAAGGAACGTACTTGTTTTTAGTTTCCTTAAAAAAAAGTTAAAAGAAATAGAAGCATATTTTAATACACTGAATATTTTTTAGTGAGAGCTACAAAAAAAATGTCATAAAATTGGGTACATTTTAGAGAGAGAGAAGCTGTTAATATTTTTTCCTTTTCCTCTAGTTCAGTGTGGATTTCATCTATTACAGGATTAGAAAAATGCAAGTTAATCGGTATTGAAAATCAGGTGAAGTGTCCATTATTCTCCTGAACTTCACCTGCTATTGGCTGGCTTCAATGCAATTGGTATCTCTCCAGGTTTTGGGCACAAACACCTAATTCACGATGACTACAACATTGTTGTTCAAGGCAGCACTGATCTTCCTTTCTGATGTGTTCGCCTCTTAGGTCTCCTCTTTTGTCTTGTTGAGTATCTTAAATAAAATCTCACATACTGCTGCCTGGAATCTATTGTCACTCTGAAAATATAAGTTATTTTTTATATCATGCCTTACCTAAACCAGAAAACACTGGTAAATGCCCTTCCAGACTTTTCTTAGCTAAACTATCTTTTGAATCACCGTTATCCCCCCTCTCCCCAAATAAAACCTGTCTTTTATTTAAACCCTTGTATCCACAGGGGGAAAAGGGAAAGAAAGGCAAAAAGGGGCCTAAAGGGGAGAAAGGAGAACAGGGTGCCCCTGGATTAGATGCACCCTGCCCGTTGGTATGTCTGACTCATGCAACTGTCTCTGGATGTCACATGTGAGGGGATGAGATGGGAGAAGAGCAAGCTGGAGGTACCAGTAACAGCAGGGTTTCTGACTGAGGCCACTTAACAAAGACTTTAAGATGCCAGAAACATCTATCTCAGGTTATCCTGATATGAGTGTGTTCCACATCTTGTCTCTGGCCACTAGCTCTGCCTTGTTTCTTAACCCTCAAATATCACTGTGCAGCTACAATATAGGGTCTGAAGAGGAACCGGTACTAGTGCATACCCCTAAAAAAGAAGACCACCGATTCTAGACAAGCCCTTATAGGAACGTTCCCAGCTCCATTTTATTTTGTGCAGTTTCACTGCATGTTACTGTTCCCTTCAGAGTTGCTCTTTTCCCAGTCTTCTGTTGTAGTTATTTCTTTAGCAGAATTTGTGCTTAAGTGATTTCTTGTGTTAGTAACGTTATGAGTTAATCTTTACAAACAGGGATTCCGTGGCGTTAAGGGGGAAAAAGGGGAGCCAGGCCAGCCTGGCCTGGATGGGCTGGATGCCCCTTGCCAATTGGTACAGTATTTCTCTTTCCTACCACCCTGCATGCAGTCCCTTTGCTTATTACGTAATCATCTTCATCAGTGTAAAGTGGTGCTTTCTGGAGCAAGCTTTATGTGATAAACGCACTACATGCATGTGCATGAAGAGGCTCCTTCCGCCACTCTTTGCAGAGTGAAGAGCACAAGCGTGTGTTTCTGTCACTGAATGCAAATTAATCTCCTGAGATTGTTCTCACAACTGACATGACCACCATACCTGTGCTTTTTGGAATACTAATATATTCAATTAATATTTAAAGATTATATTAAAAGTATATAAAAATATTTGATGCAAAGACACTGCTAGGGTATAGCTTTTGATTTTATCCTTGAGCTTAACTTTTTTTTTTTGCTAAAAGAAATAAAGGTATTTTTGCCTCTTCTACTAAATTTTAGTCGGGTTATAAATAAGGCCAAACCTACAGAATTAAGCTTCTGTGGTCAAGAGTTAACCAATTCAAGCGAATGCTTTTAAGAGACCATATGGAAGAAAACCAAATTTCTCTGAGGTTCTAAAGATGGTAATAGTCTGCAGCCCAAACCCTCTTCTTTGCCACATAACCTTTTCGATTTAATGGTCTCTCCTTTTGAAACTCACTTTCCTGAAGTAGACAGAACTCCCTTGTTTCCATTGGCATGAACTCAAAATCCTCCTTATACTAAAATCTAAAATTCTACTGGTTGATCCTTCTCCTTGTACCAATCTGGCATTACCAATTTTTTTCCCAAACATTTTATAAAACTATTTCAAAATGTTTTTTTATATTTAAAAAGAAAGTATATTTATATATTTTTAGGTATAAAGAAAAAATTTTATGATCATGATGATGGTTATACTGGTCTGCATGTTCTTATATTATTCTTCAGTTATGAGCATGAATCTTTAAAGATAAATTTATATTTCTTAATCTTTTAAGAGATTGTATTTACAGAAAAAATTATTCGTTTAATAATTATAGTTAGAAAATCTCAGTATGAAGTGTCTAGTCTTTTGTTTGCTTGGTGTTCATGATAAGTCATATTTTATAATTGTTTTGTTGAGGAAAAATATAAGCATGCCTTCATAATATACCAACTCTTCCTGCCTTATTTGTATCATTTGTATCTGAAGAATGCTTACACTTTAAATTAAATTTTGCAATATTTAGGAACCCCTCATTTTATTCAGAATTCATTAGCTAACTTCTGAAGAATTTAAATAGAAAGACTGATAAGTGCTATGGATAATATTTTACTATAAAGGTATAGATAGGCTACCTATCTTTTAATTCAATTAATTGAGTATGTTCTATTATATTTACTTCCAATATAAAAAAATGCGAAAAATACTGGCATGTGAAGAGCCATAAACTTCAGATAGAAATGGTTTATCTTTGATTTTTCATTATCATGAATTCAGCTGTAGTCCTTAGTGGCCAGGAAGAGAAGTTATTTTGGTTTATTTCATAAAGATAATTGTGAGATGTGTTTTAGTGAAATTAAGAGGTATAGTACAGATTTATTTTCTAAAGGTATAACTGTGAACAGACGACTGTGCTTTGTAAATTGCTTTTGCAAAATTAGGTGTAGCTTTTTCTATACTTCATGTATTTTAAAAATGTATACTCACTGTGGAAAACATGAATTTTCTTCATTTTTAACTAACATTGGGTAATAAATTAGATGTTGCTAATTAGTAAAAGATGCCTATGACTAAAGCCACCTAGTGGGTAGAAATCCATTTTTTAAGCCTCTGGGCATGTGAATTATGAAGTTTGATCACTCTTCTGGAGCCTAAGGAATTCCTTTTCTTCTCTTTAAAACAGGGGCCAGATGGATTACCCATGCCTGGCTGTTGGCAAAAGGTAAGCTTCCCAGAATTATTTCTAAAAAGGAGCACTCTCCCGTTCTCTGGACTTGGCATAGTCTTTTCTATTTAGAACAGACCCTTTGAATTTGACATTCCTGAAAGTCATTTGGGTATTAAAAAGCAAAAGATTCCATCTTCAGAATATCTTTTTTTTTTTTTTTTTGTCCTTTTTGAGACCGGCCACACTGCGCTCAGCCAGTGAGCTCTGTGAGCGCCCTGGTCATCCCTATATAGGATCCGAACCCGCAGCGGTAGTGCTGCTGCGCTCCCAGCGCTGCACTCTCCCCAGTGCGCCACGGGCTCGGCCCAGAATATCTTTTGATCAGTATATTTACTGCTGATTTCTTCTTAAGCTGACGAGTAAACACAGTTCTTAGCAAACATTGCGGTTTGGAACCTTCCCTATCTAATCCTTTCTGTGGAACAGAAAGGGTCAGTGCATCTTGATAATGTTTTGCTTGTCTCTCAATAAACTCTTTGTCCTTGTATTGTTTAAAACTATTCTTAATTGTGATTTTTTCTATTTATACTCAATTACTTAGATAAACATGCTAATACGTGGTAGAACCCTGTCAATATTAGTCACAAAGCTGAGAAAGCAGAAAATATAAGCTTGATTTTTTTTTCAATGATATCTTGATTTATTTAGGAGAACCTGAATGAGTTTAAGTCAGCATCCTTTATGATATCAGTTATTCTAGCCTCTTCATATGGCTACTCATAGTCACTATGTATGTATTCAGTGGGAAAGGATTTTTATAGAGGACCTTGTGTGTATGAAGGCTGTGTGACAAGCCCTTTCATATAGGGAATATCATATCATTTAATCCACACAATAACCCTGTAAAGTATTATTACCCTTGATACAGATGAGGACACTGAAATTCAGAGAAGTTAAGGACCTTCCAAGAGCACAGAGCTAATTAAGTAACAGAATTAAGAGTTATAGACAGTGTTAAGCAATGGCAGAACTTTAAGCAGGGAAGAGATCTGGATGAGAGGTGCTGTTCAGAGAATGCCAAACCTTTAGGTATTAAGGGTGTGAACCCAGTTGTAAAGGACTGTGCACATGCTACTGAAGAATGAAGGAATTTCCCAGTGTCAAAAGGAGCTAAGGGGGAAGTACACAAGCTGTTTTGGTCATTTGGAAATTTTTTCTCCAACACCTTGTAGCTTAGTCAGTAATTCTGGACAGACAGGTTTCATTGGCAGAACTGCAACAAATCTACAGCAAATGCAGGCTTGCAGAAAGATAAGAAACTTGACTCTCTTAGTTGCCTCTCACCTCAGCAACTCCATTGGTGAGGAGATTCTGTGTAACTCACTCTCTTTCGTAACTAGTCTCACCTGCTTGGTCAGGGAAAGAAAAACCATCTCTCTCAGTACTTTCACTTATGTAGTAGCTGCCCATACTCCACTGTCAGCCTGCCACATAAGTAGCTCGATTACATCTGAGGTCAAGTGGGTCTCAGGAAGATGGACCTAGAATCACCTGAGAAGACTATCCCTTCATCATCATAACCCCCATTCACAGAATTTTAGTACCATCCTGAGCTGGAATTACCATTTGCTTTCTAACCTTTGTCCTGTAATCTAAAATATAATGATTTTTTAATACAATCATTAGCACATTTTACATTGAAGGAGATGAGGCTTACTTTATCCAGCCTTCTGACACCCCTCCGAACTTGGGCTCAAAGTCATTTCTGGCCACCTTTTAGTCACATCCTTTTTGTAAAGGCATAATAATAATGACATCAAGCCACAGACTCATCATCTTTTTGGGTCATGAAATGGCCTGGTAGTAATATGAGTAGCATTAGAAAATCAGAAATTTCGGGGCCGGCCTGGTGGCGCACTGCTACAGTGCGCCGCTTGGGAGCGTGGCAGCGCTCCCGCCGAGGGTTCGGATCCCACATACAGACCGGCCGCTCACTGGCTGAGCGAGGTGCAGGCGCAACGCGGAGGGTTGTGATCCCGTTGCCGGTCCCAGTCCGGTATGGGCACAACACTGAGGGTTGCGATCCGTTGCCGGTCACGAAAAAAGACAAAAAGGAAAAAAAAAAAAAGAAAATCAGAAATTTCGCTTTTTTAAATACTCATTTTTCCACATAATAGGTACTTTATTCCACATAAAGTTAAGGACCTCATGAATCTAGCATCTTCTTATTTAAAGAATAATAACTCAATGGTAAAAATTCATTATTACTTACTACACCCCCCAGCACACACAAATGCCTGATGCTCCCTCTCCCACCCTCCCCTGCAAAAAGAAAGAATGAGAAAAATCAAATATTCTCAAATTTCTTGTGGGTCAACTTGGCTATCCCAAATAGTCAAATTATTTTTTAAATGATATTTTAAAAATAAGGCCAGTAGATTGCTTTTAGTGAGTCCTATTTTATGTAAACGACGCTTTTGAGCACTGTTGCGTTTATTAAGCTCTGCAGCGCAACAGCAAATGTTTGACTTACAATTCAGATTGTGGCAGCAGTGTAAATCACTGTGATGAACAAGTCCTCTTGGTTTTGCTATTCTCAATAATAATTTTTTCTCATGCAAAACTATTTTCCTTTTCTTTCTAGATATAGTTCAGTTTTCTAAATCTAACAACACAAGAAGAATCGTTAAACTAGACCTGAATTATTGAGGCTGGCCGGTTAGCTTAGTTGGTTAGAACATGGTGCTGATAACACCAAGGTCCAGGGTTCAGCTGGCTGCCAAAATAAATAAATAATAAACCTTGAGTGAACTCCACCCTTGAAGATCATAAAGGACCCAACCTCCTTAGCACACCTAGTAGAGCTTTCACTTTTGTTGAAGAGAGAAAAACAAATGTTGCTAATTAGTAAACTGAAAGATGACCCTGTGGACTAGTCACTGTTGTGGTGGGTGGATGAAGAGACCTCTATCTCTCTCCTTCTCTGTATATTTTGCTTTTCTCATTGATTTTTCTTTGAGTAAATGTCAAAGAAGACTGTAAGATCTGCTCTATCAGCTCATACCTCAAAGACCACTGTTCCTCAGTCCTCTCAGACTTGACTTCAGTTCTAAGAAAACCTTGATAATTACAGCTGCTCAAAATGATGAACCAGGGATTTGTGATGCCTTAGGTCATGATGGAACCTGCAGTACAACGTAAAGCTCTCACAGCAGGCAGGTCTACCTCGCACAGCATTCATGGGAGGGCTAGCAAAAGGAAAGAGGAACCAAGACTTGAAGCAGCTTACAGCATTATGGTCAGGTGTTGGTGCAGTCAACAACACTCCTGAGGTCAGCATCCTCAGTCTATTCCACAGTGTGTTGCAGCGCTTGGAGGAGATTATGTAGGTTACACATACAAAGTGTAATTTTATAATGGTACATATGTGATAAAACCCTAATTTTCTGCTTTCCCAGAACAGTTACTGAGACAAACACCACAAGATTCTCAATGGCAAAAAGAAAAAAGTGGGTTGAACCTAGGATGAAAAATTGTTATGACATCCTGGAGTTTAGAAAAGTAACATAGGACACATATCAGATGATCAATTGGCTCATTGATAAAAAGACTCTGTTCAAGGTTCTACCAGTTTTCTTAAATGTTATTTTGGAATTTTTATCCAAGACTACTAATTCTATGTATTTGTCTTTTTTGTTGTCTGTTTTTCTGCAGTGATGAATCTAACCTTCCAAGCATGAAGCTGTGTATATAACGGTCCACTTTTTATATTTATAGTTGAAAACAGAATTGCAGATTTTACAAGTCTGAGATATGTTTACATAGAGCTGCTTCTTCCTGTTTGCAGTAGTACACATGTCCATCTTTTCTCCACATCTGAAATTGGACAATTTGTGAAACCAGTGAGAAGCCTGCAAAAATATAGATCAGTATCTCATGTGAAGATATGTATTTATATGGACATATCAGTGATAGAGAATGATTGTTCTTGCTATTTTCTTACTTTGGGCTTGTTAATTGCATGGACAAAAAGTGCCATGAAATAGTTTACATGAAATTGTGACCAAATATGAACTCAAAGCTATGAAAATGTACTATACTGACTGTTTATTGTCACATTCCCATTCACCTTCCCTATTAGCATTGATTCGTGCTACACTACCCACTGAAAGTGACTAAAAAAGCATGACTGTGTGCCAAACTTTCCTGTTGTTGTGCAACTTCAGATGCTAGCATGCTGCTTGATGAGTCCTTTGATTACATCTGAGTTTTATTCTTTTGTCATCTCAAGGGGGTTACACCGTGGCTTATTGCCAAAAAGAGATAAGGTGGTGGAGAACACACACACAATTGGTCTTGTCTTTTGATGGAGTTGCACTGCTGACTGCAGATCTACAGCTTCCAGTATTGTGGGCTCATGTGGCCACCTTGGTTGAAATATCAAGGGGTTGAGCCAGTTGCTGCCACCAGTTTTCCTTGGGCTGCCCTTGGTAGTGAAGACACAGGAAGAGGACCGGTTCAGCATCCTGTGCTGTCTCTTGTGTGACCAAGTAGGAAAGAGGTTTATAAATGCAAATGCCCAGAACAGCAGACTTTTTTTTTCAATAAGCTGACTTCCAGCAAGTGTTAATATGGGTGATTTTGTAAAATGACAGAGGCATACAGCACTTCTTTTGGAATAGGAGATTCTTGGAATAGCAGCCCCTGTTCCTGAGGAAAAAGGTTGTGTCCATTTCACCAAATCTCAGGTTGCTGAAGAAATAACATGTCCTGAGAAGGAGTCAGCCAAAATAACCTCTCCTGAACATGTAGAGGAGCTCACCAGCACAGTCTCTATTAAAGTTGATGTGAGAGTTTTCTTTCCTTCTAAGATCCAACCCATATCAAACATTTCCTACAAAGTTCTAGAAACAGAAGGATATTTTTCATCCTTTTAAATAATTTTTTTTCTTTTTTTAGTCCCAGGAATATTTGAAAACATTTGTTTCAGTTTTTGTCACATATGTTTTGGACAATTTTTTTAAAGAAAAGTCTTCAAATCATTAATGATTTAGTGCCAACAGTCAAATGACCTTTTACTAAATGACTTTTACTACTCTCTTGTTTGGGATAATTGAAGAGAATATACTCAGAGAAGAAACTCTACTTTCAGTTTAATCATTGAAAAGCATGGAATTTAAGATTTTTTTCAGTACCTTTGGACTTTTTTTTACTGATGAATGTAACATACATAGAGATTATCAGTTAATATAAAGTCACGATTTTCTCATATTTGATAGTATTAACTCATTTCTATTTCCTATGGTTCTAAGTTTTGTCCATATTTAGCTTTCTTTCTTTTTACATTTCTAAATGTTTGTCTTATCCCCTTATCCACAGACCAAATCTGAGATCTCAGAAAGTTATGAAATATAGTTGCCATAAAGAGTATTTTTTCATCTACTTGCTAAAAAGTTACCTAACCGTATTAGACTGAGCATTTCTTTGCACAGTAACCAGTTGGTAGCATGTTTTGAAATGGCTTATCCTAAGTGGCAGGATTATATTAGGAGAAACATTATCAATGAGGAGAAGTTCCCTTTCAGCTCATCAGAGAATTTAATTTCCCTCCTGTCTCTGCCATTTTGTGGAGAAATTTATAGTTTCATGCATAGGTTTTTACCACCAAAGGGAAAATTAGCTTCTCATTGGCTTATGGTGACAACAGTTAAGATATAATCATAAGAAAAGGATCCTAAAATCCTTATGATGTCTTTCATATTACAAAATGGTTTCTTTTTAAATTAAGTTTTCAAGGCTAGAGAGATCTATCTAATTGGTAACATTTCTAGTAACATTCCACACCCCTAAGCCAATTTTAGCATTTTTATAATAATGGAGGGCATTTTCTAACAATTTCTTGTATGGCATGCTTAGGATACAATATTGCTTAATGTCTGAAACAATTTGTCTTAAATGGTTTGGAAAAATGAACTGAAGCGGGTGGAACCACATTCTCTTCAGGAAAACAAACTGTAGTGTCTTGAGAAAAGTCCAGTGACTATATTTCCTCCTTTCTATCTTTCCTTCTACTCCTTTAGTAGAAAGAGGTATTGAGATGGATCACTATTTAAAACTTGCACATCTTCATAAGAGAATACCTCAACATCCAAAGATAAACACTTCATATATAAAAAAAATTTTTTTTGAACACAGCCCTTTGAAGAATACTGATCTGTCCTGGCTGTTTATGAGGTTTTTGTTCTATAACTGATTTGACAACATTGACTCACTCCATGATTAAAGGCAGTTGAAAACTTCCATTACTTTTTTTTTTTTGAAAAACAAAGGGATGATGGTACTCTTTTTTGTTCAGTGGAATTTTCAGGTCTTAACCACCGTGGATAATCTTAAACTTTTGGTTAATGAAATATTTTCGAGCATCCTTTTTTCCCATCAATATAGAGAATCCTGAAATAATTTCCAGATGAACTAATAAATTATGTTTGTTGACACATATGTTGGTAGATAACATATTTTTCTTAAAGATTTCTTTAATTTATTTTATTGAATAGAGGATTGAGAAAAGATACATGAAACACACATTGGAAATAAGTGAAGGTCAGGTTCTTTTTCCGATAAAACATCTTTAAAGGGTTCCAAATTGGTATGTGCTTTAGCTTGAAAATTATTTTCCATTCATATTGGTTGGTGCTAATGTATTTCTTTTCTTTTTTCCTTATGGACAATGCAGCTCTACTATGGATAATAATTTCATTTCTCTGATTTATAGCATTCCTAAACTGTTAGTGTGTGATTTTATTTCTAAAGGTCATGAATTTACTTAGAATTGTGGTTCAATGACCAGCCTTTCTTAATGTAAAACAAAACAGTGTACCTGTAGATGATGTGTGTTTACTCACATCCCCCCTTATTTCATGTTCATTTCATACATCATATGCCTGTATCAACTTTCATTCATTCATTTTTTTTTGGAGGCTGGCTGGTGCAGGGATCACACTCTGGACCTTGGTGTTACCAGCACCACACTCTAACCAGCTGAGCTAACCGGCCCAGCCCTCATTTATCTCATCTTTTGCATTCACAAGTCTTTTAGTTTATGTAATTTGATTAAACATGACAAAACCAGTGTGAGAGAAGTCAGCACATAGTATGTAGAATACCTGGTATGCAAATATACCTAAATTCTTCTTCTAGTTTTAAGTTTTTCGTTATCAAAAGCAGTATTGGACAATTTTTCTTTCTTATGTAATTTTTTAGAAGACATTAGAATATCTTTCATTTCTACCAGAAAAAAAGGTCTTGTTTTTGAAGCTACAGTCTGTGCATATGATGTTCTAATGGGACAGTAAGAACATGGAGTAGTGTGTACTGCATGTCCTTTGTGTACAATATGTGTATATAACTGCTAATTTGGAAAATGGTCAAATCAGCATGTCTGTACTTATGAAAAAATTCTTTGGTATCATATATTTTTATCACTTAGGAAATGTGCTTAATTCTCAAGTTTTTTTTTTAATGTTACTGTTGAAGAATAAAAAGTTTTATCCTTTTTTTCCCCCCACTATATATTGTCTTACCCAGAATTGGGCTATATTTGTGTGATGGTTTTTTAACATCTACTAAGTGATCATAAGGAACATATGCTGATATTTGAAATCTTGTTCTGATTTCTTGGTCAAATTATGTTAACATTTAACACTATCAAAAATAAAACTTTCTAATTTCTACAAAAAACAAAAAAATAGAAAACCTGCTCTCTGTAGGAAGTCAAATCCCTAGGTACCTTATCTCTTTTTTTTTTTTTTTTCCAAAAAATAATAGCTAAGAACAATCACATGTGATTCTGGCTGTTAAAGTCATACATGCCTAGAGGATTAACATGCTTGACTAATTATGATTCTGTTGAATTGTTTTAGAATATAAGGGCCTTCAGTTTCCACTTCCCCTTTTTCTGGAAATATCTTCATATTAGATAAATCGTTATATGCCATAGCAGAGACACTCCTCTAACTTAAATTTTTTGTGGATTTTTTTTCTTTTTGCTAATCCAGTACAAATAAACATTTTAACGGCTTTTTTTTTTTTTCATTCTTTGAAAAATATATTTAAATGCATAAAATTGCCTGTGCTGCTCATTGACAGAACTGTTCTTTTGGGAATAGGAAGATTTTTTCAACCTGACATGTTATGTTTGATTTGTCGACAACTTAAAGAGAGTACCAACATTTCTCAAAATGCAATTGATATTCTCACATATCTCAGAAATATTAAGGAATTGGGTTCACAAAAGAATGTCTTACATATTGTTGACATTTATGTGAAGATTCTTTATACTGTTGTAAATGTTTCATTCAACTTAATAACACTTTTAAAAGATGTATGTATCTGATTTTTCTTTAGAGTATATTATATTTTTATTTGTATTTTTTACATTTTAAAGTTCATCTCTATGTGCAGCTATTTTTATATTGGAAAAACTCACATAAATACAAAGAGGAAAATGCAAAAAAAAATTTTTTTTGACATTACACTGCATATTTTTTTTTGTTCGTGGGCCAGTTTCATGTAATTGATTATTCTAAGAATGTGTTGTGTCTTATCACTGTAAATATGGCACAAACCTGTTTTTCTCAGTAGTGTAAATAATAGAAAGATTGAATTCTCCCTGTTTGATTTCTTATTTCAATTTCATTATAATTTTTCCAGCTGACATTACTGAATCAAAAGACTCATGAGGTTTTTGGTTTGCATTTTGGAGATAATTGCATTGTGTTCAGCTTATAACTTGTTTTTATTTGATTTTTAAGCTTGTTTTCAGGGTTCCTAGTTTGTGAGAAGTTGATCTTCAGAATTATTTTTACACTATTTATGACTTATTTTCATAATGTAAAAAGTGTGTAATTATTATATTAATCCAATGATATTGAATTGTATTGTTATAAAACTTTATTGATGTTCGTGAAAACCTTGGCCTGTTTTCTTTGATTGAGACACAGTCCATAAGGAATTTATTTCTACTCTTCAACCATATTTTTGTCACCCCACCACTCAACTTAGTGCACATACTTAGCTGTGGTGATTGTCTAAAACTAGTACTTTCTGCTTTTTAAGTAATAATGCTTCCAAACTGAACTTCCCCTCTAAAATCGTTTTTTTTCCAGAATTCCCCATGTTGATAAATTATATTACCTTACACTCAGTTGCCTCTTACTGTCCCTCCTATCAAATTAGTCATCATTGTGTGATTAGAACATAGTACATAGTGATCACTTAATAAGTATCTAGTAAATGATCAATGACTAAATGCCTCCCGTAAGGCACCAATTATTTACAAGTCCCAAATTAAAAGAGCGCTCTCCAGTCCTCGCCTTTCTTGATCTTACCAACAGCATTAGATACTGTTGACTTCTGCCACCTCCTGAACACTCTTTAGCTCTCACGTCCTTACGCTCTTGTCATTTTCTTCTACTCTTCTCATTTTCCTCTGCCAGCTCTTCTTCCTCTACCTGATATTCAATGATGATCCTCAGGGCTCTGACCTTCATCCTCTCTTTGCTTTTGTTCTTCTCTGCCACACATTCTCTCTCTCCTGGAGAGCTCACTCATTCACACACACGAGGACCAAGTTTCTATCTCCATCAAGACGTCCTTTTCACTCCCAGCCCAACTGGTATAGGTGTGTCCACGTGGATGTCCCAGAGGTGCTTCTCAGTTTTCCCTTTACCCCTGGTTCTCTTCCAGACTTAGATATCATAGAGAATAGAACCACTGTCCCCATCTGCCATCCATGCAGACAAGATGAAACCTTAGAATCAGTGGGAACACTCCCCACCTCCCATCAGCCACCCATTCTCTCACGCACACAGCATCTAAATCATTACCACACCCCTCAATTCCATCTCCTAAATCTCTCTCCATCCCCATCACCGCTGCCTCAGTTTAGACTCTCCTCATTTCCCTCTTAGACTTTTAGAAGCCTGTAACTAATAACCATCTCCCCTGCATCTCATAGCCTATGTCACTCTGACGATGATGACACAAAGCAAATATAACCATTGATTTATGAATTTATCCTCCCATTTCATTTCAGATAGGATTTGAGGAAAACTGAAAGAATACTTCTAAAGAGAATAAAATGTGTAGTCCTGAGTTGGGGTGAGGCCTGCGCAGCCAGCAGGACAGGGCTTAGGGAGCAAGCGGCTGCATCCATCACAACACCCAGGCTTAGGGGACAAGAGCCGAAGGCAGCAGGCCTTGAAAACAGACAAGGGTTCTCAGCCCAGCCATACCCCCTTGAAGAGATCATGGTCTTCCTATTCCCCAGAATCATGTTGGGGCAGACACTATTGAACCTGTGAATTAGATGCCAGGAGTAAGGGAAAGGGAAGGGAACTAACCAGATCCTCCCTGTGACATTCCAGCCCAGGGGGTAGGTGTGAGCTGTGGGCATTGAGGCTGCCAAGAACCTCCTTCCTGGGATGCCCCCAGCTTCAGTCACCCAACTTTAATATTCTACCAGGAAACCCTCCCCTACCTCACCTTACTATTTATTGCTGTAATTTATTGAACTCAATAATGCATAACAGACCTCACTCGGGGCAGGGAGGATCCCCAGGGCTCCCACCCCTCCACTTAGCAGGGCCCCATGGGGCCAGGTGCTAAGGGGAGCCTCTCTGTACCCCAACCATCACTTGCTTCCCTCCTGCACCCCAGGATGAGTACTGGCCCATTTGCAAATACTTTGGGGGGTGGGGGGAGATGGGGTTATAGCTATTTTGTTTAATTGGAATGGGAAGAGGGATCATGTCCTACTTTATGCCCTTCCCAGAAAGGGAGAGGGACTGTGGGATCACCTTCCTATACTGGCCACCACCACGGTCACTCATCACATTGAGTTCCCTCCAGAGTTTGGATAAATTCAGATCAGAGCTGCAGGTACACAGCCATCCAGTGTCATAGAAAAGTGATTTCATCAATGACTGATCTCTCCAGGAGCATGCAATCTTAATGCACAGCGATGAGAAAATGTTATTTTATGATCTTTTCGTTAAAAACTTGATTGAAAACTAAAAAATATATATATAAACATAGTTCAAGACCACAAAGAAAGTTATAATGAAAAGATACGACATGAAATTGTTCTGGATCCCTGTACTGGCCAGCTGCTGAAAAAAAAAAATGTACAGTATCATTAAATCAAACAATCAAATGTCTCTGAGCTTCTTGGTGTTCATAGAAAAAAGGGAAGTAAATTAGTAACACATTTACATACATCATAAGGTGAAAACACACCAGTTCCTCAAAATAATCAAAGCTAATTGAAAGATTTTTTTTTCATGCAAAATTTCTTATAAAGAGCATTGCCTTTGAGGGCACCCCTGCCATAAATGCACCAGTATGTAAGTCAAGTACATGTACCCAAACCAACTTCGCTAAAAACAGCTCTGCAGAGAAATTTCATCATGCTATTCCCTTGCTTAAAATCCTCCAGTGGTCTCCCATCATCATGCAGATACCTTGGTATTGAGTACAAAGCCAGTTGTGATCCAACCATGCTTAGCTTTACAGCATCATGTCTTGCTAGTCAGCACCCCTCACCCAATGGTTTTCACATATTAAATGGTTGAGGATCCCTTTGGCTGCACCCTTGCCCTAAAATAGTCTTTATTCCCAATGCCTATCATCTATCTGACAAACACTTGCCCTTCTTCCCAAAATTCAAATATGTGTCAACTTACTAAGCACCCCTTCCTGCCAAGTTGAGATATTCCTTCTCTGTTCCAATAATTTCTTATCAGGTTGTTGATAATTATGCGTTCATCTGTGTCTTCTACTAGATGGTAAACCAAGCATGAAGCCAACTCATAGTAAGTTCTCCATTCTTTTTTTTTTTATTTGGTGGCTGGCCAGTACAGGGATCCAGACCTTTGACCTTGGTGTTATAACACCATGCTCTAACCAACTGAGTTAACCAGCCAGTCTTCCATTAATATTTTTAAATGAATAACAAAAGCTGCAACAAAATTCACTGGGACTTGTAAATTTTATTAATGTGCATAATGGGTAAAACAATCCACACAGCTGGTTTGTAGCATGCTAGGTATTTCCCAAACTAAAGGAAGATGTGTTAAATGACCTTTTTCAAGTCTAAATTAAGAATGTTTTGTAAGAGGTAGGATGCAATGTCACCTATTTGGTGGTAGATGTGATAACACCTAATAAGTGGCCAAAGAGTATTAAAGGTTTAAAGAAAGTGAAGACAGTCTGAATTACCCCTACAGAGAACAGGAGTAAAGAGTGGGAAGCACATGATGATTACTGGGTGCTGCAGACCAGACCAGTGAATCTGAGGACCATGATTTTGTGGTGAGGCTAATCTGCAGTTTTGTGCATTATGCATAGTATTGTCATCCATCTGAACATTGAAAGTTTACCTTCTAAATCTCTCAGTTTGTGTTTGTTGGCTTTTCATTGTCCCTCCGTGTGAGGAAGCTAGATGTAGTCTGGGAGTTCTCAAATTTCAGCATTCATCAGAATCATCTGGAGTGCTTGTGAAAACACAAATTGCTGAGCCCTACGCCCCAAATTTCCGACTCAATAGATCTGGAATGGGACTTGAGCATTCATGTTTCTAACAAGCTCCTAGGTGGTGATAATGCAATTGGTCCAAGTTGCACACTTGGAGAACCACTGCTAGTCTAGTCTACATTATTGGAATGCAAAAGGCATTAATGCAAGGGTGGTGACCTTCTTTTACTGTGAACCTCTTCTAGGGACTTTCTCTCCTTATCAGTGTCTTAACTAAAACTCCGAGGTCACTCTTCTGCATATCCCTCAGTGGAGGCTGTTAATTCTCCCACAACCTTCCCACCTTAAACAAAGTCGGGCTTCCATATCGCTCTTCATTGCCAGTTCCAATTAATCCTCCATCCATAGATGCAAAGCCCTCCTTTGAGGCTTGTGTTAGGACCCTCATCCCTTCTTCATTGCAGCCATCCACTGACTTCTCAGTCTTTCCCTTCATTCACTGAAGACTCTGGTATCTGATTCACAGTCTTATTCTTCACCCTAAATACTGCCATCATTACAGGTGATTTAAATGTCGACATGGGCAACACAACCAATACCTTAGTCCATCATCTCCTCAGACCTCATTTCTAATCACCTTTTGCACCCTCCGATTCTGCCACTCATTCCCGTAACATGCTGATTTTGTCAGTCCCTGGAACTGCTCCAACTCTGGAACAATGCATCGAAACATCCCGCTCTGAGCACACTCTCTGATCCTGTCAGGCTTTCCCACCCAAAAACTCCCATTATACCTGTCCTTGTACCTTACAGTGACCTCCATTCCCTTTATCTCTCAGCCCTCCCTA